CCTCATATATATTTCTCTTAAATCCTGATTATGTTACTGCTTGCTCGCTGCACTCGCTCCACAGCAATTAAAGCAAAAAATTATCTTGCCCTTAAGGTAAACTGAATTCCTTATTTTCATTTCATTCTGTGCCCAATAAATATAAAAACAATTACAATAGTACCCAAACTTCTTTATGAGCATTATATAAAAACATTTAAACTATTATAGTGAATGATAAAAAACATTGGGCTATCTGTCAACAGATTAAACTGCTACAATCTAACTACTCGATTAAACCACATTTAACAATAAATATCTCTCTTCTAGAGACATCATCCAAAGGAAATAGACAGCCTGTTTTTAATTCGAAACTGTTAATATTTTCGGTTATAAATTCAGCAACAAACACACGTGTGAACGTCGAAATGCATACCTGTTTTTTTGAGGAAACCATTTTTACTGTTTGACCGCCTGTGATCAAGATAAAAATATCTTAGTAATAATTCCAACTGGAGTACAAAAAGGAATGGCTTAAAATCTAAGCTTCAAGCGGTTTAGTTCAGTAGTTATACCTAGAAAACTTTCGTATTTCACCAGGAAAAGCGTTCAAGGCAGCCGCGAGAGATGGAAGAGAACGAACTACCCACAATTCCTTGTTCTTATACCCCGTATGCAGTGTCATTACGCAAGCGCTAAATTTTGCGCGAAATTTCAAAATGGCGCCTTCCAGGAAACAGGTTTCTTCTGAACAGTTATCCTCTTGATTATGACTCAGTCGATTGTTGTTCAAGGTAATTTATTGATACATTTTAAAGACAAATGGCTCAATATAGCTATACATAATACATTTTTAATCATTCATTTTCTTTCTTTGTGATCTCCGTTTTACAGTGGGACAATGCGGAAACCAAGTAAGCTGAATTATAATCTAAGCTTGACTTAATTTGTCAATTTTGAGCGCGTTATTTAACAATTAATGAATGAGGCTGAGTATCTTATGAAGAATTATGGAGATCGAGGAGGGTGTACGGCCTCGACGGAGAACACTCTCCTCGATCTCCATAATTCTTCACATGATACGTAAGCCGAATTCAATAATTGTTTTATTATTCATTCAAAATAATTCCTAGTTTAAAAACATGGCTAAAACATGCTTACCTCCATCGATCCATCAATGTTAAGATCATCTTTGATAGTGCACGTTTAGGTTTGTCCAGCTCCGCAAATATTCTCCAAATAGCAGATGTCGGCCTTCAAGTTGTCTTGTTGCTGTTCTTGCCATGTTTTTAGCTATTTTTTTGCCTAGTTCTTACTCTTGAAATGAGTGAAATGACCGCCATTTTTGTTTCCACAACCAAAACAACTCAACCTCGTCCCCAGGTCTTCTCGATTAACGGTGCCTTAACCTGCGAAAACGCTGCATTTTTGACGTCATTTCCTCGTTAATCACAAAATTCTTCCAAATATGGTCATCAGTAACTGGTTATGGTGAATTATGCGTTTGCTTTTAGCCGATCAGAATCGGGGAAATATTTTGAATGAATAATAATAGTTGTGATGCTGAGATTGCTCAATACAATTTCGAAAAGAAGGCAGGAAAAAAAGTAAGAACGTAAATGTTGTCTTTTGAAACGTTAGTTAATTCAAACAGCACCGCCAAACAATCGCTGGAGCACCCCTGGGCATTTGACTGAAAAAGTTTGGACAAGCTCCCTCTTTTGGCAGTTAAGATGGCCAAGTAGTATTAAGAAATCGCGTGAAGAGAGACCAGATGCATGAAGAGAAGGACAATCATACCATCTGTTTAAGATGACAGAATAAAATATTGACTGAAAAGATCACTTTACTAATAAAATAAATAAAATTCCAAATAGTTTATTACCATAACTAAGCGATTTCTCGCACGCCGATTGTTCAAGAGGTATGTTCGATAAGAGTACAGACCCTAAAATGATGTGATGGTGGAGTAATTCTTGGTGTGCAACCACATGACAAGGCGGCCATGTTGGGGGTCAGAAGAACAGAATTTTTTCTCGAAGAATTTACATGAAAATAGAGTTTAGTTCCCAGAAGACAGAAATGCTTTTGTTCTTGACCACCAATTAACATGGCTGACCTGACGTCATGTGCAAACCAGCAATTTTTCTCTTTCTCGCATGAGCAATTCTCCGAGAAACTTCAATGGAAATGGATGTCAAAACTTTCGATGTTATTGTAGAAAACAAATCAACGACAACTTTCCATGGTCTGTGCTCTTTTTGAACATAGAAATGACCATGCAGTGAAACCATTTGCCTGCGGCTTGTGGTTCCACTTGAATTTTGAACATTTTGATGTCATCTCTATGGCTGATAAGAGTAAAGACCAGGGGTTTCAATAGTAGCCGGGTAGCGGGTAGATCTACCCGCTTGCAACGAGCTGATTACCCGCTTGGAGCCTTCACATGAATGTCAACTAAGACCAGATAATTTCATCTCAGCTTCGAATTCTTGCCCAAAAATTTGGCAAAACAGGTTTTGACTATGAATACTTCATTGTAACATAATTCTCTTCAAATTTGTTTAAATTAGTTGACTTAGGAGCAAAAAAATGTAAAAACAAAGCAACAAAAAAAGACCTGAAAATGCATCTGCGAGAGTCTAGAACTTCAAAATTTTCCGGGGGAGCATGCCCCTGGACCCCCCTAGGGTCGAAGGCCCTTGGGGCCTTCGGCAAATATACCCGCCTGTTACTCTTAAGTACCCACTTATGCAAAAACTTATTGAAACCCCTGAAAGACCATGGAGAATTGTTGTCCATTAAGTTTTTGTTACTTGTTTTAAATTGAGACTGAATTTTACCTGTGAGACATATGGAGTTGATTGTGTCAATTACCTGGGTAAAATCTGTTCTCAGGATCAAGCTAGGTTAACAGGATGAGAACCCTCATGTAAACCTTACCCCAGTTGGTGGATACTGGTTTGACTTGAGAACAGATTTTATGTACAATATGCCAAGGGGCAAGAGATGGGTATTTAAACAGATAAGATTTGTTGATCTCTCATTATTTTGTACCTCAAACAGATTGGATGTAGATTTTGGGACTTGGCTTTAAGAGAGCATGCAAGCACTAACAAGGTGACACAGCAACAAGCATATTATTGTAATCAGTATAATGCAAATCTACATCAGAGTTGCAAGGGATGGGAGTCCTTCACTGATTCAAACACACTGTCTGTTTGCAGAATAATTTTGTATTTTATGGGACTGCAACAGATTGTGAATGACTAATCTATGGATTAGTTTCAAGACTTGAGTACTGAAAACAACAACAACAACAAAAACAGCAGCGACAACAAAAACAGGCAGTTTCATACCCTTTGCAGTGACATTTTGCTGTATAGCTTGGGGTAGATATGTTAAATCATTATCATATTCTGCTACAACTGATTCTGACAAGCGACGTGGCCTTAAAACAGCGACATAGGACAGCAGAACAAACGACACAAAGATGGGTTGAAACTGTGACAACGACAGAGAAAAGTGCAGTACAAGTACTGTAAAATATCGACATGGCCTCCACCTCAATATGCGAAATGACAGGTTTTGAAATTCAGACTAGGGACATACATGTACATAACCCCTTAGAGGGCCTCTTTAGTTAATATGTCATTCTTTTACTTACCTATCATTTTCAGTCAAACCACTTTTGAAGCACATGATGCAAATCCAGAGAAGTATATAATTTCCTTAGAAAGTATTATGCTTATGATAATATGTATGATGTAAAATTTGTGTCTCCAGCATGGCTTATTTGATGAATCCCTCAGCAGTTTCTTCCGCAATGTTGATACCAGGTAAAAAAAGCATTCAGATTCCTATGTCTAATATTGTAGAACATTGTCATTGTTTTTTTGTCTTCTTCTATTTAATCAATGCTCTAGTCCACATTACATTTACTTTGCTTGCTACTTTTATTTGCTCTTTCAAGATACAAAAACCCAGTTGACATTCCTGTAGGAAACTCTAGACAAAAGATTAAGTCTTTAAAGGCTAGGGTATGTATTTCAAAAATTAACTGATTGCTGGAGTAAAAGCTAGTCAGAATTTTTTAGCATTATTTTTAGGTGAGTTCATTATGTTTTTAACCCTTTTTGTTATTGCTCATTTCCACAGGCTGTCATGATAGACATGGAGGAAGGTGTTGTTAATGAAATTCTTAAAGGTCCTCTGCGTGATGTATTTGACTGCCAACAGTTAATTACCGATGTATCAGGATCAGGAAATAACTGGTACATATACTGCCCAATGTTTGTACATGCATGCTTATGACCTGCTGGTATTAATAAATGTTTTGACAGTCAACAAGGCTGTTATTAAAGATTTCAAGGTGCTGGGTATATGCATTTTGTAGGATTATCCTGTCAGTAAGGCCAACAATCATATGGTCTCAAGTGTGTTTAAGTAGAGTTTGGGTTACTTTGACAGGGCAACAGGATTCATGATGTATGGACAACAGTACAGGGAACAGATTAGTGAGGTGATCAGACATGCTGCTGAACTGTGTGACTGTCTTCAGTGTTTCTTCCTCATTCACTCCATGGGTGGAGGTCAGTATTTTTGTTTGTTGCAAAGATGTGGAAATGCAGTGTCACTTGTTACTTTATAATGAAGATGTCCACTTATTTTAGATACTGTAAAATTAATTATCTTATTTACACCCCCTATCAAAAAAAAGCCTCTTGTCTAATAGATGCCCCCTTGCAATCTTAAGTTTGTATTATATGCCCCTGTCTAATAGATGCCCCCCCCCACCCCTCATGACAATTACCTAATACAATGTACCTCAGGGCCTGGCCCTGCCCTGCCCCATCCCTGGGCTCTGAATGACCTAGATCATGCTGCCATAAATTTCTCTGACATGTATTATGAGTTTGTGACTGTTAAATTTAGCTATTCTTTTTCCAATGGGAAAGTATCAAATAGGTAATATTAATTTTACCAAAACATGCATTGATTCTTTTTTTTCATTTTGTAGGTACTGGTTCTGGTTTGGGTACATCAGTGTTAAACTTACTAGCTGAAGAATACCCTGATGTGTATCGCTTCACCACTGCTGTGTATCCATCAGCTGATGATGATGTCATTACATCTCCCTATAACAGGTGTGCACTCCAAACTGTGTTCCATTATTCCATGTTGGCCACCATACCATCCATGTTTGTGTTGTCATGTGTTGTCATCATGTTTCCACATTGAGAACGTAGACATCAGGAGTATCAACTGACTTTTACTGAATATATCACCTAGTTTTATACGGTCAATAAAAGGCGGGTTTTAATCAAGTCTAACATACTCGGCAAAATTCGACTATATTATACAAACGACAGCATTGATTTCCTGTGCAGTTTTCAGCTAATAAAAAGATAAGCTATGGCTAAAGCACTGAAAGCTTTGTGGTTATACATGTTGGTTAAGTAAGTTATGATAGTCATGATGTTGGAGCATGTATTCTAACAATCCCACATTTCTTTGTCTCAGGCCTTTTAGGGATGTTGTGTCTATATAACAGTTAGCATAGAAGATTCAGTAACCAAATTTACTTGAAAGTCAGAGTGGCTGCCTTACGACAATTTAATAATTGAGTGCAGCTATTTGCAGCGAAAAAAGTACTAATAATATTATATTAACAAAGGCAGCCTACAAAAATAAAAAAAATGATCAAGTGCTACATCTTGTAGACAAAAATGTGGCCCAAAGTGCATATTATTTTATTGTTCAGAAGTTTATCATGATATTGTTGATAGTAACTCATCTGTCTGATATGGTCAGAAAAATAAGTTAGTGTTGTTTGCTGTGATTGTTTAAATAGTAAGTACCACTGGGCAGCAAGAAGTGAAAAGATATAAGAATCTCCAAGACTGTGTACAAGCTCTCTGAAGACTGGACAACAGCTGGGCCTTCTCCTAGTGCCCCCCCCCGCTCGTCCCACTTCCCCACCCCACTGAGAGCTTGTTTGCAGGCTAATAAGCTCCACAGCACTTTTCACGTAAAGTGCTGCACTTTCTCCTCAAGAAGGAAGGTCACAGGATTGTCATTATAAAGAAAGGTTCTGAACAGTCAAGCTAAACAGTGGAAAGAAAAGCAAGAACTAACGTGCATGCAATGTATCTTAAATCTTTTTCAGTGTCCTTGCTATGCATCAACTGACAGAACATGCTGACTGTGTTCTTCCAATAGAAAATCAGGTACAGGCAATAAAAAATGCCTTTCTTACAAATAAAATATTTTTAAATTTATTTTTCACACAGGGCGCTTTCCATTTAGTCAAAATTTCCGGAATTTCCGGTTCGGCGGTAAATGGAACATGTTTCGTCGGTTCGTCTCACTGGAAAATTCCCAGAAAAAGTGGAAAATCTAAAAAGGTGGTCCCGTTTTCCCGGTGGGAATTTCCGAACGGAATGTCGTGTTCCATTTACGTTTCTCGTAGTTTGTACCAGTTCCAGGTCCACGGTCGGGCACCGCGCCACGTACCGAGGTTTACGACCAAATGGAACAACTTTTTACCGATCGGAAATTCCACTTTTGCTACCACCGAAATTTCCGGGTTTTTTTCGTAAATGGAAAGCGCCCACACAGTCAAAGCTGTCACAAGAAACCCTCGCAGAAATTCGAAAAAGTGGTCATAACCACAACTGGTCGCTTATCAGAATGAGCCCTCATAAGCAACTCTATACAGGAGCAGTCATTTACGAGAACTTTTCATTACAATGCTTAAGTCATAGTTCAAACAGGTTTGACAATGGTGGTTTTAACGAGAGCTGGTCGCTTATGAGAGTGGTCGCAAGGAGAGTTTTGACCTTGACATTGTATTACGTTAGTGTTGGCATTCTGTGCCACAGGGGACAAGGGGCTCCAAATAGCTTCGGAGAAATTATCTTTGAGAAACTTGAAACTTTACAAAGTATGTATGAGCTCAGGGTTGTCACTAAGATTTCAAGTTGCCGGGTAAACACAACAAGTAGGCGGGGAAATCAAACAGCTAGGGATTTCTTTTGGTCTATTTTTCTTCTATTTTCCAATAAAAGTAGCCGGTGGCCACTCTCTTAGTAGCCGGGGAAAATCCCCGGCCCCCGGCTCTTAATGACAACCCTGTGAGCTAATTAACGTTTTTACTACCCAGCAATTTCACAGTTTTCGGTGGTTGCTATTTCCTTTGTTATTCCTTGTAAAGAGCTGAAATTTGCACAAATTAACCAACTCTTTCAACTTTTGAATTTTTATTTGTGGTGATGGTGACGGTGATGCCTTCTAGGGGTTAACCCAATGCTAATCAGCAAAAATGTAAACAATGATGTAGGCAAAGATTTGCCCATAACTGAAGCTACAGAGATGATCCAGATGATTAACCCAGGCTTAAAACAGAGTTTGTTGTCCTGCGTAAGGAAGACGTTCCTCTCTGTCATATATAACCCATTCACACCAGAAACATTTTTGCAGATCCATATTTCTTGTACACTTGTAATAGAGACCTTACGATCTGACAAGGGAAACACCCATGAAATTGTTGTTGAAAGATAGGCTTCACATCCTCTCAAAATTTTTTGCAATAATTGCCAGGTCTCCCAGTTATTTAAATAAAAGGGAATTTCTTTCGGAGCTGAAGAGAGGGGACTGTGCAAGAGTTCAGACAGGGATGGTAGAATTTATTGCCTTGCTGTTCCCATTCTCAAGTAAACTTAAAACTTGACTCTTTCACGTTGTAGTTGTTCAGGGATGGCAAAGAAATGTACAAAAAAGCGTGATGCTATTGCAGAGCAGTTGTTTTGCTCATTAAGCCATTGCCATTTTGACGTTCCTGTGGCTGTTGCCGTCATAGTTTTATAAGGTCCCTGTTGTCCCAAAGTTTGTAAAATGTATGCCCAACATGCCCGATTTCTGGCTAAAATTGTCGCATTTGTTTGAAGTGGCATTTCTGGCCAACCACCCATGGGGGTTGCATTGAATGAGATAAGAGCAGTAATTTTGTCCCCAAGTTCCTAGTGGTAAATGGTCAAGCAGCACAACCACGCCCAGACTTGGGGTCAAGTACAGTAAAAACCCATGACTAAGAACCTGCTTTTTCCCAAGTAAGACTAAACAGGTTTTTACATAAATGGTAACCAGCACCAATTTAGGCTGTTAATTTTAGGTTCATAAATACATTCTTAGGTTCAGTAGTCACTTATTGAATAGATGTTCATACTATACTGGATATGGCTTTTTGTACTTGCATGAGAGGGTATCCAGTTAGTATGAACACAGCCTTAGTTATTAGTATGATCATTAATCAGGCTTTTTTGATTATGTTGTTTTCAGGCCTTAGTGGACATCTGCAACAAAGTTTCCAGTGCTCTTCCACCTTCCAAGACTGGGAAAAAGGTATTTCCTTCATCAAGCAGCCAACGTGTCAAACCCAACAGTGCCGTTACATCAGGTGAAGGTGGTGTTGGCAAAGGACCAGAAAAGCCTTTTGACAACATGAACAACATAGCTGCCAATCTTATTTTGAACATGACAAGTTCTGCACGATTTGAAGGCTCTTTGAATGTGGATTTGAATGAAATCACCATGAATTTAGTGCCGTTTCCAAAGATCCATTATCTTGTTTCTAGCCTTACACCACTCTATTCTCTCACAGACGTTCGTCTCCCTCCCAGGAGACTTGATCAAATGTTCTCGGATGCTTTTTCCAAAGATCATCAACTCATCAAAGCTGACCCTAAACACAGCTTGTACTTGGCATGTGCTTTGATGTTGAGAGGCAACGTAGAAATTTCTGACATTCGAAGGAACATTGAACGACTGAAACCTTCATTACACTTTATTCACTGGAATCAAGAAGGCTGGAAAACAGGTTTATGCTCTGTGGCACCTGTAGGTAACCCTTACTCCCTTTTAGCACTTGCAAACAACACATGCATCAGACACACATTTCAGGATCTTAAAGACCGTTTTATGAAGCTGTACAAGCGTAAAGCTCATGTGCATCATTACACCCATGTTGATGGCTTGGAGGTGGCACAGTTTGATAGCAGTTTAGAGTCACTGAACTCTCTAATTAGTGAATATACCACTCTGGAAGCTCACATGGGAAGAACTGTAGATGATATTCAAAGACTGACAATTGCTTGAGTATATATGTGGTAGTTCAATTTTATCCTTGGTTCAAATTTATCTCCTTTTGTTTTAAAATCATTGTCATACATTACCATACCCAAAAACAAAGGGAAATAAAATTTAAACCAAGGATAAAATTGAACCACAACACATATGACAATTATTGTTTCTGAAGTCCCTCATGCAAGTACACAACTTATGAACAGCAATTAGGAATAACATATTTGATGTCTCAAGTGTCCTAAAATATATGGGATGCAAAAATCCTTGGATTTACAGTAATACACAGACATTTATTTTGTTTGTGCTTTCCTAAACAATGTCACCCTTTCCTCTTGGTGAAAATAAGGGTTTATAATGCACAGGAGTATACAACTGTAGCTCGTAATTTCTGAATGTTTTCAATAGTGCGATCATCAAAATTAATGATGTAATACTTTTTAAAAAAAGAATTTTAAGTCACAGAGCATTTACCACTCACAAATCACACCCCCTACCCAACAATGGTTTCTGTATTACCAAGAAATCAGTGCAAAAAAACAGTTCAAATAGACAGCAGAGCGACAGATTTAAAAGATGTTTCTATTTTTATTTCAATCTTTTAAATAACACTTTCTTAATGTTGCTGGGCCAGTTTCCACTCAGTCAAACAATCCTGAAAAGAAAACAACATCAATTCAGAAGAGATTGTACAGTGTAGATGGATTGCACATTACAGAACCAATCAGCTCCTCAGATTCACCAAGTTTATCATAACAGATCTAACCGCTTATCGCAATTCAAAAAAACATGGGACAAACTCCTTTAGATGTGTGAATGCTAGTGTCATTTCCATAATACTTATTCCTTCAAGCTACACTCTACCGCTGTACTGTTTCACTTATTAGGTTTGCGTCTTTTTCCTTTTAATTTAATTTTTTTTCTATATATTTATATATTATTTTTCATAGTTAAAAGAACAAGTATTTGTAATTAATTTTGTTTTGTCAAAAAATAAATAATAAAAAAAAAGTTTATGATAACATGTCTGACTGAGTTCTACCTGATATAGTTTTCAAACCAATTTTAAGCATGTCCTTTAATTGCATGTGATGACATGACACATAAATACTGGTACTGAAAAATGGAATTTTATGCTTGCTTAACCCTATCTTAAGGTCGCCAGTGTTGTTGCATCTCACTGCAGCACATCTTTCAGTTTGTCAGTTGGAAGAAATATTTCTTATTCTAGACCTCCACACTTGAATGATAAAGAAAAAAATTAATTTCTTTATTTTCAAACTGGAAAATTTTTCGTAGAGGTTCTTATAGTAATGTGTACTTTCAATTAAAAAAAAAGTAAATAAAACTTTCTAGGTTATCGGCCCTTCAAACTTGTTATCCTCAACTTACCAAATCCCATATCGTCATCAGACTCTTCCTCCTCCTCCTCCTTCTTTTCTTCTTTCTTCTCCTCTTCCTTGGCTGCTGGAGCATCACCACCAGCAGCAGGAGCAGCTCCTCCAGCAGAGGCAGCACCACCAGCACCTGGAGAACCAGCAGCCTGGATAAGACTGTCCAGATTGTGCCCTTCAAGGGCTTTGGCAAACAAGCCTGGCCAGAAAGGCTCAACCTCAACCTTGGCAGCCTTGATTAGCTTTTCAATTTTATCGGCCTGTTGAATTTTAAAGAATTAACCTTGTTCAATTGAATGCTAATTGCATCAAAACCAAGTACACTGTAAAGAAAAGTACTGCAAACATTTTGAGGAATCTTCCCTAGTAAAGAATTCTGTAACATGGCAAGGCTGTGCTCTAAGATAAACTGAAGGGAACACCGTCCTCTGAACCTGTGAAATTCAGGGTGCTCCGCATATGATTTTTATGGGAGCGTAAGATTTTCTAGTCACCAGGGCCATGTTGTTCAAAGCAGAGTAAAGGTAACCCACGGCTTGTACAAAGTTTGAATTCAGATGTTAAAGCTTTAAAAGTAAATTCAGTTCACAGTGTAATTCTTTTTGCCAGCAATGTAATGATCTGAAGCTCTATAAAGAATAGAGAAAATTATTTGAGAAAATGATTTTGAACAGAAGAATAAGAAACCCAGATTAAAATTTAATCCAGGGTCAGCACTAATTGGCTTTCAAACAACTGGGTCCTGAGAGTAAAAGTTAAGCACCAGGAGCTACTGGGAGCTGCTAGAGCACAGCCTTGTATGGAACCAAAGCTTTCCTGACCTTAGCAAAATTTAAATTCAGTCTTTTTTGGATTATTATTTTAAGCCCAGCTGTCATTAAGAGGCAGGGGCCAGGGGAAGTCACCAGGTACTATGAATGTACCCCCGTGCTACTCTCAAAGGAAAATGGAACCAAAAGAAAACCGTAGCTGTTTGATACCCCGCCTACTTGTAGTATTTACCCAGTAACTTGAAATCTTAGTGACAACCCTGTTTAAGGGAAAGATTTCCGCACAGCTCCATATATTTACTATGTGTACATGATTCAACTCCACTCATATTGAATATTTGTGTCTTTCTGCAAGTACTATTATCACAAAAGAAACAAAAGGAACCAAACAATATGAGTTCTCCTGGCGGCTTTATTATTTAGTTGTATAGAGTACCGAAGTGATGACATCATAAAAATGAAATTTGTGAAATTATGGGATTTGTTAAGATATTCTGAAAGAGCAACGTCCAAGACGCTTACTCGCCAAAAATTAGCAATTCGGGGCAAATTGTCTCTGAGATATTAGCCCAGTTATGCTGTGACGATTCCATACAAATCCTTCTAAATTAGGCTTGGTTCATAAGATTGGGAACAAGGTAAGATTTAGAAGGATTTGTATGGTGTAATCGGAGCATAACTGGGCTAATATCTCAGAGACAATCTGCCCCAAATTGCTAATTTTTGGGGAGTAGGTATCTTGGGCGTTGTTCTTTCAGAATATCTTAACAAATCCCATAATTTCACAAATGTCATTTTCTATGACGTCACACCTAGGTACTCTATTGTTACTTTTGTTGCACGTAATCTGTGCGTCGGTACCTACAGAAGGTACCGAATATTTGTGTGGAATGGTATGAAATTGCAGCATGCTGTTTGCATAATAAATGTATGGGCCTGTGCGTAAATTTTACCTGCTTAATATTACACGTCTTTAAAGATATGAATTTCAAGTTGTGCAACAGGCAGACCCACATTTTTTGGTAACAAATCTCTTAGAGAAAAAGAAAAATGTCATATTTTAACGTGGATTGCTGCCTAGACTATCGTTCTCCTGTTAAATTTCTGCCCTTGAAGCCCTGATAAATAAATAAACTCAGTTAATTTTTACAAGTCTTGGTAGATAACAACACGTGGAAACGTAAAAATCGTGACGAACATTGTGACTGATGTGAAGTGTCCAAATTGCAGTTTTCTATGATTTAGCAGCCGGTTGTGGCTCAGATTATAAATTGGAATCACCCTTAACGATCATATGTCAGAGGTGTAGTATCATCACAGCCACGTAAATAAATAATTTCCTAACTTCTTGTCAAGGCAAAACCACCATTTTGGATTTTACTACCTACCGTGACGGGAACACCATCATCGTGGAGAATGAGAGCACTGTACACACAAGCAAGCTCAGAGGTTGATGCCATCTTGTTCTTAAGGTTTTTATGTTTCTATTCCGCCTAGAAATATCGATGTAGGTTGCCTTGATGAAACGATTCACACGGATTACAAGGCCTTAGCTCTACACGAGAACTCTACACCTTCAAAGACGAGATAGGAGAGGAAGAAAAGTTGACTGCGCTAGGAATTATGGGAATCCACGCGGAGCTTTTTTCACGCGCGCGAAAGAAAGGATCATTTTGAAATCTCCCAGCAGATTTTTTGGCGATATATGTGAGTTTATTTCTTGATGTGACACGATTTTATGATTTCTACCTGATTTAACATCGGTAAATGTCTTGGTTCTAGTCTCAGCGTAGAAGATTGGTGTTTTGATTTGCTTTTCCCGCGATGTCAAATCAAAACTATATCGATACAATTGCCGCTTTGAAAGCTATCATCGTTGAATCCCTCAAGAATCCCGGAAAAAGGAAAGAATTTGTGAGCGAAGGATCTGTTGAGCTGATTATTGGTGAGTAAGAGTTAAGCTTCCACTGAAAAACCTTCATTCATGACTGTGTTTAACCGAGGCATAAGACAAGGACCACGTGGATCCATTGTTTTCCAAAATAAGCTTCCAAACGTGTTGACCTTTTTTATGAACTTAGAACTGTTACTGTTTCAAGTTGTTTACTGAAGCAAAAAGCCTTACTGTAAATGAGCGAAGAGGGAAAGGTAAGGGAGGACAAAGATGATGTGAGAGGGAGAGGACAGAGAAACAAAAAGAAACAAGAACGCTCTTTGCAGCAAGTCCGTCTCGCTTGCTTGGAGATTACGTCGAGAAATGAGGAGGCGATTAATTCCACACCAAACCGGATTTACTCGCAAAAGGTTTTTCACCTCCTACTTTAACGCATAAAGCTGTGATATTAAAGGATATCATTTATCGAATAGTTATCAGATTTTTATTATCAATCTAGAATAGGTCTAATATTGAATCAAACTTTTATCAAATTTGTCTTTATTGTTTATAATGATATAACACACTAGCTCTATCCAACAATATTTTATGTTATCTGATATAATATTTTGCCGTTATACCTTCATTGGATTTAGTCATTCTAATCATTCTAGTGTCAGATATATTAGAATAAGATGTGCCTCGGGATCTAAATAGGCTCTTAAGTAGTCTAACTTGATATTATCGCTATAGCAGTCAGGAAGGAGGAAAGGGATATCTTAATAGACTCTAGTAGATTCTAACATGATACTATCGCGATAATATCTAATATCATCGCAGTCAGGAAAGAGGCAAGGGAGCTACAATAGATCCAAACAGTCTCTAGTAGATTCTAATGTGACATTATCGTGATAATATCCAATATCATTGCAATCAGGAAACAGGAGGGTGGGATGTAAGTAGACTCTAGTAGAAGATAATCTATAGATATATTATAGATGTAGGTACATAGATAATTTATATAAATAAGTATCAGGTAATATCTGATATATGATATCCTTTTGATGACACCTAACTCCTTTATTGACGGTCAAGTATTCTTCAGGATGTTTACTTTTTATTTGTTTCTGAATTGATTTAGTACCCATGTTAACGATGACTGGAAATACATCTGGGGTCGCAGGCTATACGTGTGTATAACTACGCGAAAATTCAAGGGCCTTGATTCCAGAGAAATTATACAATCGCCAGAGATCGAAAAAGTGATCTACATTGCACATTATTTCAATCATCGCCGAAAATAAATCACATGCTCATCACAGGACCATTTGCATAAAATGAAAGCTTACAACACCCGACCATCGCAGTTTTCCTAATTTAGGCTCTTCTTTTTTCAATCACTTTAGAGTTTACTTGTTCCAAAGTAACCAACGCTTTCAAGTGATAGTATTTGTGGACTGACCTTGTTAAGTTCTCTGATTACTGTCTTTATTAGAACAGATCATCAACTGAGGAGCTACTACACATGGAGGGAAATCTGACACAAGACCTACATGTGTTCGGTGTCCTATTATATTCTATACGTCACATCTTTCCTCCTCTAAGATGAGTGATGACTAAATGAATTAACTAAGTCATGTCAAGTGACAAACAAAAACAGAGATAAATGACGAACCTAGGCCTAGCTGAAAACAAAAAGAAATAATATATATATATAAGAGAAATTGTTCCTAGTTGACATGCTGTGGTTTCAGGAGTTCAGCTTTTATGGGCAGTTGGGTTTTGGTGTGTCTTCCCAGCAGTCTTCGCGCTGGACTGGAATCCATGTATTCTGTGGGGGTGTTTCGTGCTGCAAGTATTACAAGGTACATTTGTAGAGGTCACTTTTATTTTTCTTTGCCTTCCTGAGGATGCTCTTGGCCGTCTTGACCGCAGATTCAGCCTGACCATTTGCCTGTTGATGACCAGGACTGCTTGTCTTGTGCTCAGAGCCCCTTTCCCTTCCGAACTGAGTGAACTCTGAAGAGGTGCATTGTGGTCCGTTGTCTGAGATTACCACATCAGGAATGCCATTTCTTGCAAAGTGACTCTTCAGCTTTCATACACATGTGGATGCTTTGGTATCTCTGAGCCTGTCAATTTCCCAGAAATTGGACAAATAGTCCACAGTAATGAGACAATCCTTGTTGTCAAGATTGCAGATGTCTACTGCGACTTTTTCCCATGGCCTGTCAGTGGGCTCATGGGTAATCAGTGTTTCCTTGGCTTGCTTAGCTGAGTGCTGGCTGCATATTTCATGTTGGGTTATGTGTTCCTTTATTTCGGCACTCATGCTGGGCCAAAATAGACACTTGCAGGCTCTTCTTAGACATCCATTGATCTCTAAGTGGGAGCTGTGCAGCTGTTTTATGGTCTGATAGCGCAGGGCGTGTGAAATAACGAGGCGTTCTCACCTAAAAATCAGTCTATCGCACATGGGCAACTCATCCCGGTAACTGTAGTAGAGGTTCAGCACAGCAGGAGGGCTTTTCTTGTCTGCTGGCCATCCAGTTAGAATTACTTCTTTGAGCAGCTGAAGGACTTCATCTTTGCTAGTATATCCCAGGATTTCGTCATGCTTTTCTTCAGATACTGGTAGGCTCTTCATCACATTAACCATCTCAATGTCTCCCTGAGTGTTCCTACTTGAGGGCTGGTACGCCCGGCTTAGTTTGTCAGCTAGGTACATTCAAGGTCCTGGATTGTAGACAATGTTGATGTCAAACTTCTGAATCTTGAGAAACATCCCTTGTAGTCTCTTGGGTGCACATCTTAACGGCTTTTTGGCAATGGCCTCCAAGGGTTTGTGGTAACTCTCAATTGTGACAGGTCTGCCATATGCATATTGCTCAAACTTGTCAAGTGTAAAGACCACAGCGAGAAGTTCCTTTTCAATCTGTGCATATCTGGATTCTGTGTCTGTGAGGGCTCGGCTTGCAAAAGCCACAGGCTGACCTTTCTGTAGTACTGCTGCTCCGTGCCCTTTCTCACTGGCATCGGATTGGATTGTTAGTTCGTCTTCTGGGTTGTAGTACTTAAGAAGTGGCGATGTTGTGGCCATTTCTTTGATTCGTTTGAAAGGTGCGTCATTCTCTTTGCAAGTGAGGTTTCTAATAGACTCCATGACTTCACTTAGTTTCGGCATAAACTTTGCTAAGTAATTGACGAATCCACAGAATCTTCTGACTGCTTTGATGTTGTCCGGTCGCGGCATTTCTTGCACAGCCTTTATCTTGTCCGGGTCTGGTTTCAGGCCCTCTTTGGTTACAAGGTGTCGGAGGTAGGGGAATTCTGTGCACTTGAGTTTAAGCTTCAATTTGTTTAGCTTGATTTCTTTTTGTCTGCTTCGCTACAGAAACCTCTCTAAGTTTCTTTCGTGATCCCGCATCAGCCTGTTCATCAGTGTCACCAACCCCATATATAACCATGTCATCATGTACGTTAAGCAGGCTAGGTAGTCCATCTAAAGCGTGGTGGATTTGTTTCTGGAAAATTTCAAAGGAGATACTGAGACGGAAAGGTAGTCTTCTCCAGGAGTAACGCCCAAAGGGGGTGTCGAACATCGTCAGTCTGGCTGACTCTTCATCAAGTACCACGTGCCAATATCCATAGAGAGCATCAACTTTTGTGAATAGTCTGGCTTTTGATAGTTCTGGCAACACATTCTCTGTCACTGGGATGGGATATCTTTCCCACTTAAGGGCTTTATTGAGCTCTTTTGGACAAATACAGATCCTCAGGTCTCCAGATGGCTTTGTCTCAATCACAACGTTGCTGACCCAGTCTGTGGGTACATCCATTGGTGCTGTCACGCCTAATTTCGTAAGCTTCTCTAGTTCTTGCTTGAGTCTCAGCTTCAGTGCTAAGGGTACTCGTCTCGAAGGTGATATATTTGGCAATATTCCGGGATCGACTTCTAATCGCTGAGCTCCTGGGAGGGTTCCTAAGTCTCCTTCAAAGACATCTTGATACTCCTCGATGAGTTTGTCAGCGGTCTTCAACTTGTCAGGTCCGCAGCTCGGCTGTTTGATGCCTGCTGCCCGCACAAAATTTTCTGCGTGTATTTTGAGGAGTCCCGTGTGGTGGGTGGCTTTTGCTCCTAGAAGTGGGGTTAACTCCTCCTTCACAACGACAAACTCCACGGAATATTTCTTATCGTTCCTCGGATTTGGGATCATGACACGTGTGACACCTTCAGGCTTCAATTCCGATTTATTCCACATTTGTGAGACCTTCTTGGTCGGTTAATCTCCTCGTGTCCTACATACTTTGCAGGTAGTACATTGACATTCGCCCCACAGTCTACAGGAAAGCGGATTGCTTTTCGTTTCAGGATCATTTCAGCGTAAATTTCTTGCGCATTTTCATGGTGTTCGACTGTACTAATAGAATCGGGTGTTAATGTCACGCAATTGATGTAATCTGATTCACTTGAGCTTTCTTTGTTGATGTCGTCTGCATCACTTGAACTTTGTTGATTTACTAATCAGGGTGCACAGAAACTCAAAACTCATTTCGGGTTATTTGTTGAGTCCATTGGCGGCCCAGGGCAAGGATAACAGTGCTGCTTTGCACATGCTACTTACTGGGGTTAGATAACATTGTGTTTTTGGCAAAATGATAATAAAAACAATAAAATAGAAGTAGAATCAAGTAATTGAAATGAGGAAGCAAAATCTAATCATACATTTAATTACTTGACAAATACCACTGCAAATCAGTTAAAATTTAAATTTGCATGTTATTATTATTAAATGCAGAATTTTTTTAAAAGAGTGTATAATATTATTATAAATTCTTGATGTTACACGGTTCGCAGATCAAGCCAAGGAAACTTCAAAATTTTTGATACTCAAGTGTCTTATTTCAAGCCTTGGCAGTAATTATAGTGTACCTTACTTTTCAATATTGCCCATTCATCGCGTTTACATTTGACCTTTGTGACTGTTTGTCTTTTGTCTGTCGTATGTAAACAATAGCTAAAACAATAGAACTACTACATCAACCAATTCAATCAGAGCTTCTGACCAGTTTCCGGACAGATTTACATCATCAGCATGGAATTTCTGTCACTGAGGCACAGAACTCCCTCCTGGGGAAACTTCCCTAGTGGCGAGGAGAGGCTTTTGTGCCCTCTTCAGACTAAAAAAGTATTATAAGTTGTAAAAAGACAAAATAAGTATAATATTTATTTCAGTTGCACAGGGGATGAATGCACTCTAGCTAAAGATCAAGCAGGAGCTGTGGTTTCTGGTGAATTAAAGTATAGATTTGTTATGTGTTTTGACTTTGTAGGATTATGTGATATACGAAGCATCCCCTGGAGTCTGGGAGTTTACTGTGCTGCAGCTCTGAGGATTCTTGCACATGATGACAGCAGAGTAAAGGCCAAAATTGTAGGCCAGGGTGGACTTGGTAACATTCTGAAGATGTGTGAACCCAAGACACAGTCAGATGATATAGGTGATTAAATCAGTAAAAATGTAGGTATTTGACTTTTGGAGCTATTTGAAGCCAAGTCAGATCTAAGCCTGGGCCGGGTTGTTCACACCTGGCTTACGATAACTCCGATTTAGTATGAAATTTTAATTCAAATTTGAAAGCTTAAAAAAGAAACATAGTTTAATTGTTTTTGTCTATAATTTGATGATTGGAAGCTCTCAAAAGAATGGGGAAATTTATCTGAAAAAATACTTTTGAACAAAAGAAAAAGAAATGTGGATTTAAGTTGAACCCTGGATTAGCACTAATCAGACTTCAAAAAACTTTGGCCCTTGATTTTCAGTTGGTAATTAAATCCCAGACTTGAACTCAGATTTTCCTTCAAACAACTTGTTCAACTTGTTTTGACTTGACATGAATCTTGGCCCAGTTGGCTCTTATTCAAGGACAATACATGTGAACAGAGTGTGTGAGTTGCCATGGTAACTATTCAACCCTTGAGTGTGAGATACAACCTACTCAAGCCTAATGGTTAGAATTATTCTCAATGTACCTACAACTTTGACAATACCTTGAGCACTTTTCTATCATGCACAGTACTTAAGACCCGTCTCTGGTGTGATCACTAAGCAAAGCCCTAACAGCATACAATGTAACTGCAACACTGATGTTACCTGCTAGTAGACCATTCTACAATAATTGTACAGTGTACTTGTTGACCTGTCTCTGGCATGATCATCCATGACTAACCAGGCCCTTACAGCAACACACTTACATTGTATTCTTCATATATACATTCTGTTCCATTTTATGATACTAGAATATAAAAGGCAAAATAAACATCTTATTGACCCTGATGATACACAACTGACTTCCGATCTGATGTTGGCTGCCACACAAGTTATGGAAACTTCTGATCAGTCCCTGTCACCAATAGTCCTATTTATGATGGTGGTCATGTGACAAACCTGCTTCAGCCTTGCCTGCACTTATGACATTTTCCCTGCATTTAAACCATTTACAACACTTAGTATAATCAAACTTGTTTTCAGATACTATAGAAGATGTCCACTGGCGATACCTTGCACACGAACAAGCTGCTGCAGTACTCCACACGCTCAGCTATCAGAATCCAACTATCCAATCAGAAATGGTCAGCTGTGGTACTATCAAGCATCTTGTGAAATTGTGTGATATGTTTGACCCCATGGGTTGCCATAGCAACTGTTGCTACTCTGTATATCAGTGCTCGAAAGATGCAAATCAACTTCTCCAGGATTTGACCTTCCAGAAGAAATTGGTTGGAAAAGTAAAAGAATTGTCATTAGATGCTTTAAGAGAAAAGGCTGTGAATTTAGTCAGAACTGGTGAGCAGAAAAATACATAATGGTTTGTATTTACCTTGAGATCGTTTCTCTTATAAAAATGAACAAGGTGCATATTAAGCACAACTACATTTCAGTCGAGAAATCTCAGGTCAGAAAGCTATGTTTGCAAGAGACTCAGGGAAAACAAAGGTCAAACTTGGATCAGATTTAACACTCAATGAAAGCTAGTACATTTGTGCAACTTTTGCATTTTCTGACACAGTAGGCAGGCAGAAGACATTTCGCATTTTATGACTGGCTTGTTTTTTTTTTTTGGCATCCACTTATAATTTCCTGTGAAGTATTTTTCACATGGCAATATAAATATTTGGATGTCAAAGAAAAAATTTTACAGTGTTGAGAAACTGGAGCCAGTAGGAAGTTTGCAGTGATATGTTGAAGATACAAAACAACAAAATACTAATTATTGCATAAACTCATGAAATCTCCTTTGTGCACATGCCCCTTCCATTTGGATTGCTTTGCACAAAGTGGGTAGGCTGTGGTTAATTGTTTATCCTGAGCTTTTGTGAAACTCTTTGATTCTCTTTTCCAATACAGGTCTTGTGAGTGGCTCAACAGAAGTAAACAAGATTTACAGCATTGATTTATATGACACCACTACTGATTATCAGGACATTAGAATAAGTGATGAGCTGATCAACAGCCAGTTAATGTGGCCAGATATGACCATGAGCAATGGTGATGATTCTGAGGATCAAGGAAAATATGTCAAGCATAAGGTACCTTGATTAAGAGTTATTTATTAAACACTAAGGATAGAAACTGTCTAAGCAAATGAAACAATGCAAAAACACATACTGTACCCTTAGATCCTACTTATTAGTTTTGGATGAGCAGCGTGCAAATAAAGTAGTGTCTGATAGCTTGGGGCTAGTGGATTTTGCGATCAGGCTAGTTAATTTTGTTCGTAACTTGCCCGATGGGCAAGTGAGGTTTTTTGAGGAATTCAAATCACAGAAGAACTGTGAAAACAATTCTGCTTATCAAATGTTTTTGGGGCTAGTTGACATCACATTTGGGCTAGTATGTGCTAGCTTCAGCTTGCCCGAATGGCAAGCTTGAAAAATGACTTTCTTTGCACCTTGATGAGTGTGTGAGAGGTTTTTCACAGCATATTAACGGGTAGGTTTGTATCCAAGAGACTCAAGTCGTTGCTGTGGGAGAAACTGTAGAAAGTCTTCACGCTTTCAAACATTGGATAGCTCTGTCCACTGGATAAATCCCTATCCAGTGGATAAGTATTAGGGAAACCAATTACATTATCAAGTGGATATCGTTATCCACCTTTCAAAGAACTGGTCCATCGATGTTATGATTACCACTGGGACAAAGAATGTTTAAGAGTAAACACACCATGCTGCCAGTGAGTAATACATCCAAATGCATTTAAAATTGAAGTTCAAAACATTCAGCTTGAAGAATCAATATTATTTATCCCAAGGGTGACCAAGGTCAATTTTCTCCTCACAATACCAATACATTATCCAGTGAAGAGGTTATGAGAATTGATAAAATGATCATCTGAGGGAAAATGCTGTGATCTTTTTTCAAATTCTCTCAACTAGCTCCGTAAGGAAATGTATGGAGTTCAATATGGAGAATTTCAATATGGATAGTGGGCCAAGGGTTAATACAGTAGCCAGGGCATGGAAGATGGTGGGGTGCCAAGAGGCTACTTCAGTATTGTGGGGTTGAAAGAAAGACTGGAAGTGAGCATTTTTTAAATGCTGTAAAAGTAGGGGAAGATAGGAGGAAGATAGGCTGTTTGCCCTGATCGGGGGCAGTTCTCCTTCACAGTCACGTGGCATAGGTAGCTTGTATTGTTTCATATGTGAAAAACCAGGCCCTATTTTTTTTCATGCCCGACAAAGTGTGCTCGGGCTGCAGGTAAACTTGCGTCAAGTGTGGAAAATAAGGTCACTAGACTGACTGTTGCATGTCCAACAAGCTATGGACAAATGTGGCAAAGCAAAAAGAGGAAACAGTCTAGTGTATCCAGATGAATGGGATGATGACTAATATGGTTTTCCATGGTCCTGGCAATGAGCGTATGACTCCGTTGATATGCTTGTTGACTGCAGTGTGCGGTCCACCTGTGTCAGCAATTATTGGAGTCTGAAACTGTGATGGGTAATAGCAATTTGTGTATGTAGTATGGCGGCACTGTGGGTTTGTTTTTTGTTCACATCGTGTTTTGAGCATCAAGTGGATAAAGTTGTTCTTGTGACGCATGGTGCATGGTGCAAAACCTTTCTTGGCAAAATGAGTTTTATTTGCATGAGAATGAAAAATAATTTCCATATCAATGGCTGAGCACCGACCCTCGTTTTGAAACAGAGGGCCGGGGGAACTCGGAAATGGCCTAGTCTTGGTTTCTTCCCGATTCACTACGTCAATTTGGTTCTTTTGGAAATAAACCTCCCTCTGCACAAATCGGCATGTTTTGGGAAGAAGAAGTGGATTGGACGTTTGAACAGTGAAACTTGAAGAACCAGTTAGCTGATGTATATATGCTTCAATTTTGGTGCTTCTGCCAAGGTTTTTGACAGAGCTGGGCCCGTGGGACTTGGGACTGTCAATTTATTTTAGAAGTCTTACATTTTGGCACATAAACCAAACGTTTAGTCTGGTAGGAAAAGAACCTCTTCCAACCGTGTGGACCTGCAAGAGGTTTCACTTTTACTTGTCGCACGTGCTCATTTCGTAGTCATAACAAAAATGCTCGAAAGTTTACCCGTTTCTTGAATTGTAGAAGCAACACACAGCACTAAAAAAAAAAAACAGGTGCATTATAATACATTGAGATGTATGTAGCCCTGAGGAGTTTAAGCCAAAACTGCTGAAGGACGTTTCAAAAATGTCGAATAGTCAATCGTTTGACTTTCATATAGTGGTTGCAAAGTTAAAAAGCACTCTTTAGAAATTTCCAATTGGATTGGGTTTTCTTTGTAACGGCCTTTTACAACGATTTTCCTGAAAATTATTTGGCATACTTATTATATCAATAAAATTAGTCACCAGAAATTTCAGCCAAAATGATATCAGCAGAATTTCTCACTACGCGAGATTTTCATTGTAAAGTAAGTTAAAGTGAAACGCTCATTTCGTGAAAAATTGTTTATCAGAAGTACGTGTAAAATCGGATTACTTCGTATGAATGCCTAATCTAGTGTTAGCTGTATAGCTCATCTCAAAGTTTTGCAGCCATCGCGTAAGAACCGAAAAAGTTATGACATAAAGTTCGTCATAGCTGAATGCGCCTGTCATATCAAAGGAGCTGCCTCAAATGTAGACGAACTCTCCTGAAATTGAATTCCAAGTTCTGAAAGAACAAGAAAATTTCGCCGTGGCTTGTTTGCACCCTCCACAAAAACCCGTCCCCAAAGATATGAGAGCTCCTCCCTTGGTTAGGGATAAGTGTTGTGATTCAGTTAACGTTAAGTTTTTAATTGTTGTATCACTGAGTTATTTTCTCATTATAGAGTAGAGCCACCTTTAAAAAGGTGCGAAAGCTATGCTTAGCACCAGCTTTATAAAATGAGGCCACCCTTTTTGCCTTATCACTCCCGGTCAGTTGTTTGTAAAACATGAGCAGTTCAATAAGACGTTTAAAAAGGTTTAGTGCTTTATTTCTAATCCTGCATACCTTAAGTACTTTTCTTTGACAGAATCCCGAAAAATGAGTGATGGGCTCGTAAGCGTATTTATCTTTTTTTCTCCCAATGTTCCACGCTTGTGTTTCGTGCTTTGCGCTACATGTCTTTCGCCTCGCACTTTGCTAAAAAAACCTATGTTATGTGCTGAGCCTGTACACTCTTTTTTTATATTGGAATGTTGTTTTTCCGGCCCAGGCTGAATATTCGTATTTTTTGTCGATTTTAGGCTGAAAATGTTCTTGAATTATTCTTAATTATAAATTATAGCTTATGGCATTTCCGCTTTATAATGTATTAGGATTTCAATTACCAGTGTTCTTGCCGTTTTAGGAATAATTTTCTACGGTTAAAACATAAAATGTACTGCATTTACAGATATTTCAAATCCTTTTCAAATTCTCAGCCCCGGGTTTATTCCTAAAATATTCTTAAAATTTCGCAAATTTCAGACTCAATATTCTTATAAAAGAGTGTAGGCAAGTTTGAAGGTCTACCCGGATATTGCATGTAAGCTAAAGAAAATGGAAACAATCAGAGATAATACAATTCAAGAAATATGCGTATTCCCGTCTACAGCTTAAAGTTGTTAACAGTTGTAGAAGTTTTTACAGTGCGACTACTGTAACCGGGACCACCTAGACAAAGTTGACCAATCGGATTACAGGAAAATATCAGTACATTCCGAGAAAGTTAGTTATCGATCATAACTACCACGAAACGAAATCAACAACATGGATCGAAATCAACCAATTACAGCCTACAGACGTGACTTTTTGAACCCGCTGAAGAAAGGACGTGTTTCCCTAGAAGTCCGTTAGCGTGAGTGACGGAGGCGAAAAACGTAAACGGTAGTTATATTTTTGACTTGTGGTCGCATGTTATTGCAAAGCGCGGCAATAGGAGGCAAGAAATTGCTGGTAGATGACAAAATAATAGCTTGTGTCAAAGAAATATGTCTTCTGGGTGTTGTGTGCAAAGTTTCGAATAGAAAAACATTGTCTGGTGAAACCTTTTGGTTTCCCTAAAAACGTTTGCTATCAATATTAAATTCTGTGTATCGAGTAACTTATTGTTTTTTACGAACTGCTGATTGGCCGACAACCAACGTTCTTGCAGTTTATTTTTTTGTTATTTTCCTGTAATCCGATTGGTCAACTTTGTCTAAGTGGCCATGGTTACAGTAGTCGCACTGTAAAACAGTCTTTTACACACAACGCTATTAACAGCCTCTCGAACTATACTACTTAATAGAGTGATCAGTAATAAAATGAGTGAGAAAGGCTGAAATAATTGTTTAGCCCTCTCTTTATGCCTTCACATCCTCTGCAGGAAGGGTCGAATGTGGTTCCTTGATTTGCTTTTTCTTCTTGAGGACTCGGAGGCGGTACATTAAGGCAGCCAAAATGACGATCAACAGGAGCAAAGCTATGGTGCAACCCACAGCAGAGAAGAGGAGAATGTTGCTTTTTCCTCGGGGACGGACAAGCTCCGACACGGTACCAGCTTCTGACTTCTCCACGTCGCCACCAATGTTGGGGAACACGCGATCCACTATCACCATGTAGGGTTTGTTAAGATGGGCGTGTACAAACTCCTCCATCATGTTCTCAGATTCTTGACACTGCCCCTCGCGTGCGCATCGCAACAACTCTGTGCACATGCCATGAAGCATATCCCTCCAATAGGGAACTTTAGCAGTCTGGTTGTCGTGAAAAACATCGAGAGAGTACCAAAAGTACCCGGTGCGTTGGGTCACGCGACGCATTGCAGCCGTTAGTAGCAGGTAATCGCTCCAGCCAAGCTCATGGGGGCAAAAAGTCGTGCTTATCGGTGTGAAAACACGGCCCTCAACGTTTGTTGCGGCGTCGCATTCTGTGGCAAGAGTATAGACTTTAGATTGGCTGACTTTACCTCTCTTTCCATATGGACGCACAGTGCTGTTCTCAAAAACCATGTGGTCTTCAGTGAAGCCGTCATATGAGGTCACATTGTCGCTGTCCGTTGTGGGATTAACGGCTTCAACCTTGCACCAGCTAGAGGTCTGATCCAATCCTGTGATTCCGCGTATGATGTCACCAGGAGATAGTTCGGAGACACGAATAATACCCCTTGATTGCTCTTCCACTTGCATCTTGCCCGACACACAGCCGTCGTTAAAATGGATGTTGATATTAATATTAACTTGGGCATCAGCATCTTGGGCCAGCCCCAGGGTAAGAATCCAGGCAATTAACATGGAAGACATCAGCGAACACATAACTTTGAATGAAACCTACAAAGGTAAACATCAAAGAATGATTGAAGGACACTCGCTCACTTTGTATCTTTTTATGTGGTTAACAGTATTAGAGAAAACAAGAACGCTCTTACAGCGAGTTTCAGTCTCGCTTGCTTGGAGATTAGATCAAGAAATGAGGAGGCGATTAATTCTACACGAAACAGGATTTACTCGTTAAAGGTTTTTTCCTTCCTACTCTATCGACGTCGAGTATTCTTCATGATATTTCTAGTACTTTTTATTGTTTCTGCATTGATTTAGTACGCGTGTTAGGGGCGACCGGAAATATGTCTGCGGTCGCAAAGGCCTCGATTCCAGATAAATTACATCATTGCCAGAGATCAAAAAGTGATTTTCATGGCACTTCATTTCCATCATCGCCAAAAATAAACCGCATGTTCATCACAAGACCATTTGCATATAATGAGAGTTAACAATCGACCATCGCAGTTTTGCCAATTACGATTCTTATTTTTTTTCGACCACTCAGCAGTGTCCACTTGTTCCAAAGTAATCAACGCTTTCAAGCGATAAAATTCGGGGACCGACACGTCTCGGAAAAGCTCTAAATTTAATCTTTCATCTCTCCTAAGCTCTCTTCGCAAAACATGCGTGGCTTCTGTCACGCAATGATTCTTATTCCCAGCTTCTGTGATAAGACGAATAAGGCTTCAGTAACCTTGGAAACAAAGCTAGCGCTGGAGAGGAAGTTGATCTTTTTGTAATAAGGGGCTTAAGCAACCACGACAACCACAACGAAATCTTTAAATTTGTTTTATGAGAAAAACAACAGCTCTGCGCGTGCATCACGCTTTTTAGTAAACATCCACTGCACGACTACGACGTGAAACCTCCTAATGCCACGTTTTATGCAACGACATACAACGACGAATTCTCCTTTCTCTTTTTGAACCTCCAGGAAATCTCAATACGTAATGACAACAAAGACTTAAGCTCTAACATTGAAAACAAAACAGGATCACTAGCTTTTTCTTTTTATGTATTAATCTCAGGATGCCGCGAGCGTTGAAGTGGAAATTGTTCTGTTTTCTCTTTTAATGCTGCCGAGCCAAAACAGGTCAGGCATACTCCCATAGGTTCTATCAATATGTTAAATAGTTCAAAATTGAATTTGTTGGGCATTGCCTTCAAATTAAACTCGGGTCTCTGTTATTGAACAGACGTGTAACACCTCCAGAACGCAAAAGGAATATCTTTAAATTTACGTCAGTGATAATGAGATGATCTAGGCAAATGTGATAAATTACGAATTTAACTCTGATATTTACATGCGTAAAGTATTTTAATCGGAAAATATGTTTTTTCTCCTCTACAGTACGCGCTCTTTTCCTTTCCTGAAATATCGAATAGAAATGTTTGTCAACATGGTAACACTTTTGGAAAATTCTGAATCATGTGGAGATATATGGAGCACTACTCTTCTTATGATCTCATTGATATATCTACCAATCTCCTAAGGTATCCAGTCTTTAGCTAGTTTGTATTTTTTAACCACTGTTACAGGACTTATCTTCCCGATTTTGAAGATATATGCCGGGAAAGTTCATAAAAGTTCGATGAATATCCGATCAATATGCTTTTAAGGTTCTAGAACATTTTAAGTGTTTACCTTTAAAAATGCAATATGATGAATAACCTGAAATAAGCTTTGCATGCAGAAACATAAATATTAACCGTGTGCTTTTCTTGTCTCCAAACTTGACGTCCCTTCGAGGATGCTTATCCTCTAAGTGAACATTCCACATTTGTATGTAGTAATTAACTTAGCGAGTCAGGGTTTTGCGACTCGTTTTTGTTGGCAGATACATCCTACGCATTATTATATACCGGTATGTAAACGTATTATCAACGACCATCAAACAAATAAACAGTGAGCTGCTAAGGAACTGAAGGAAAAAAGAGTATGCAGTTATAGAGAGAGAAAGAGAAGAGAAAGAAAGAAGTACAGAACTGTTGAAGATCAACTGAATGAAGGTTAAGTTGAAGAAGAAAGCTTAGAAGTTAACAGAAGAATAATATTGTGAAGAGAGTAAGTCTCCTTATAATAAAGAGTTTAAGCGTAAGACGTATTTGGTTGTGAGAGCCCCTCTATCACTGGTGGAGAATAGTTGCTACGATCCTGGCACCTTTCGCCTCGTCGACTCCAACGAGCGACTAAAGTTCCTCATCACTGGTAGGAAAGAGTTGCTGAAGATTATTTGATGGCTCGATCATTCTTCATGGCTGTCCCCTTACTCGATATTATGAAGATTATTGCAAGCCACGTAACGAAAATGACCTCGGATCCATATTTACAGAGAACCGCCCGCTTCACTGACGCCTGCGGACTCAGTTGAGTGTAAAGACTTTGTTAATGGCGAACTCTTAAATGACTTTTGTTCACTTTTGTTCCTGCTTTCTTTAAGTCCTGTTTAACTAGCTAAATCTTACTATGCTTATTATCTTATTTTAAAGCAAATCTTAAAATCATTAACTTTTATGATTTACACATAATTTAATCTTGATAGCGTGAACTTTAGTGTCAGTCCAATATGTCTTTTGAGGAAGCGTTGCGTAAGTTAAATCAGCTTATAAGTCGACAAAATGATTACTTCGGTTATTTTATTGATCACGTAACACTCCATGACTGCGCTGAAGAACGTTTGTAACTATTTTCCGGTCGCGAATCACAGGATATTTATTGCTGGCTTTAGAAATTTGAAAATCTGTTTAAGGGCTGCGATCGCAAACTAGATTCGGCATGTTTGGCCGCTAACTTTAGCATGTCATTTAACGGGACTTGCCGAGACTTTATTTCTCTCTCGAACGATCTCTCAACTAAGGCGTTAAAAGAACGATTTTCCCCCGATGATTTGAAATGGCGGTTACGACAGTCACTCATTTCGAGACAACAGGGTCTCCATGAATCTTTGAATTCTTATAACGAATTTATCGATACCACTTGTCTACAACTAGGTGTATCTAAAGAAGACCAGTTTTACTATTTCGTTAACGGGTTGCTTGCGGACATTAAAAGTGAAGTTTTGATGCATCAGCCAAAAGATGACCTCACAGCAGTAAATTTGGCAGCCGTACTGAATTTGTTGATCGCACTATTGCAGATAGCCAAAGCAACTTGAACAGTTGTAAAGAAAATCCAGTTTACAGGTTACTACGTAACAAATTGCGTCAGGATTTATAACAGATGAAATAAAGTCTTTAAGGGATGGTTTCCCCCCAAATTTCGCAAATCGTGATAGGAATTCTAAAGCTTCAGCGCAGCCTTATCACCGTCGTTATGCCGGTGGGTTCACATTTCAGGACCCCACCTGCTACAGATGTGGCGTAGTCGGCCACAAAGCGCGTGTTTGTCCAAATCAGTCCCATGATTACGTCATGATTACTACAGTTCCGAACCTCGACGAAAAACGTCCTATCGAAACACATCCCTACGAATTGTTGAAAATCATGTCGACCCACCATGTTCCACTAAATTTAACAAACGTTCACCGTTTGTTCTGAAAAAGGAGGTTCTTTTATATCGTGAAAGCAAATTGCAAATCCTTACTAAGCCGATCGAATACATCGAAGTGAGCAAGCATTCTCTACTTACCGAAATTGTCAATGATTTTGATGAAGATATTGATACAAATTCGTTCTTTGAGACTTGTTTTGAAGTTTTTACTCACCCTAAAAGTTTGAATACCCCCGAAATAACCTCAACAGAAAATGAAAATATTACAGGCACAAGAAGTGCCATTTATTGAAATTTCAGTGGATCAATATCATGTTTGTGAGCTCGAAGAAAATTCGAATTGTATCGTCAATGATATTCAATATGTTTCTGCAGTGCAAGTATTCGATTACTTTACGGTAAAAGTGTCTTTTACTGAAGACGCATCGCAAGAAATTTCTAACATAGAGCACCTCCAGTACAAGCGCGACGAGTCAGATTTATTAGTCTACAAGCACAGCCCATAAATTGGAGCATTGTAAGAAACGGCGTGATATTTTTGAACGAAGTGATATTTCTCTTGTTACACCTGAGAACGTGAACAATATTCCTGTATAGTCAGGACCATTGGTGCTTATCTTTCAAAGATCTATATCTATATCAGTATGAGGCCTTCTCTGGGACCTTAAGTCGCCGTGACTTTTGGCGACTTTAGGAAAATTTGCTCAAATTGTTATGCGACTTTGGGCGATTTATGGTGACTTTAGGCGACTTAAGGTGACCTATTAGTTGAATTAAATGCTAGTGTATACAAAATTGACATCTACTGACAACACAACCTGTCTATGGAGACAGTGGGTCTTGGAGACATCTATTAAACACCCAAAATTCCAACAATCTCAACACATTTAATACTAAAATAGTGATTCTACTTTATATTTTGAAAATTAAATATCAAGGTAGCCTGCGTCGCAGATGTTATCTAACACTGGTTAGTAAAGTCTGCGAAGCAGCACTGCAAACTTAACCCAGAATTTAGTATGATCACAATCATGCTAAAATTTGGTCAAGCCCTGTTGACGGGAACAAGCTTGCCATTTTGTCTTTTCGCCTAAAGACTGCAGTCGATCTCAGTAACTCTGACCTTAATTTCTTTAAACGGAGTTCGCTTGTGGTTTCCACAATTGGATAAAAACTTTTTTTCCTGGAGATTGAAGGAAGAAGTTGCGGCTTCAACTATTGCTTTTCTAGTCTAAATACTTAGTTTCTTTTTAGACTGAATTTGATTTTTCTTCTTCTCACTGATTTATATACAGAATAAGCGTTTCATTGAAGTCGCTTGGAATAATAAACAGGTCTATTTTCTCGTTACCGGTAATTTTTGTAGCAGCTGTTCACTCTGTGTACGTTGCGAGAGGCACTAGGCCCGGGTTACCGCACGACACAATCATTGTAATTAGCTCTTCCGATGGATCAAACAATCAGAAAATTCCACACGGCTTCAAAAAGTCTTCAATGCTCATATGCGTTTCTTTCTGTTTAATCAGGAGATTGAAATTAAGCGAGGGGGTAATGTTACAGGACTTATATCTTCCCGATTTTAAAGATATATGGGAAAGTTAATAAAAGTTTGATAAATATCCGATCAATAGGCTTTTAAGGTTCTAGAACATTCTAAGTGCTTACCTTTAAAAATGCGATATGATGAATAACCTGAAATAAGCTTTGCATGCAGAAACATAAATATCAACAGTGTGCTTTTTGAGAGTGGGACATCTCGTCTTCAAACTTGACGTCCCTTCGAAGATGCTTATCCTGTGAATATTTGCAGATTTTTAGTAATTAACTTAGTTAGTCAGGGTTTTGCGAATCGTTTTTGTTGGCAGATACATCCTACGCATTATAATGTATGTAAACGTATTATCAATGACCATCATCAAACAAATAAATAGTGAGCTGCTAAGGAACTGAAGGAAAAAAGAGTATGCAGTTATAGAGAGAGAAAGAGAAGAGAAAGAAAGAAGTACAGAACTGTTGAAGATCAACTGAATGAAGGTTAAGTTGAAGAAGAAAGCTTAGAAGTTAACAGAAGAATAATATTGTGAAGAGAGTAAGTCTCCTTATAATAAAGAGTTTAAGCGTAAGACGTATTTGGTTGTGAGAGCCCCTCTCTTTATCACTGGTGGAGAATAGTTGCTACGATCCTGGCACCTTTCGCCTCGTCGACTCCAACGAGCGACTAAAGTTCCTCATCACTGGTAGGAAAGAGTTGCTGAAGATTATTTGATGGCTCGATCATTCTTCATGGCTGTCCCCTTACTCGATATTATGAAGATTATTGCAAGCCACGTAACGAAAATGACCTCGGATCCATATTTACAGAGAACCGCCCGCTTCACTGACGCCTGCGGACTCAGTTGAGTGTAAAGACTTTGTTAATGGCGAACTCTTAAATGACTTTTGTTCACTTTTGTTCCTGCTTTCTTTAAGTCCTGTTTAACTAGCTAAATCTTACTATGCTTATTATCTTATTTTAAAGCAAATCTTAAAATCATTAACTTTTATGATTTACACATAATTTAATCTTGATAGCGTGAACTTTAGTGTCAGTCCAATATGTCTTTTGAGGAAGCGTTGCGTAAGTTAAATCAGCTTATAAGTCGACAAAATGATTACTTCGGTTATTTTATTGATCACGTAACACTCCATGACTGCGCTGAAGAACGTTTGTAACTATTTTCCGGTCGCGAATCACAGGATATTTATTGCTGGCTTTAGAAATTTGAAAATCTGTTTAAGGGCTGCGATCGCAAACTAGATTCGGCATGTTTGGCCGCTAACTTTAGCATGTCATTTAACGGGACTTGCCGAGACTTTATTTCTCTCTCGAACGATCTCTCAACTAAGGCGTTAAAAGAACGATTTTCCCCCGATGATTTGAAATGGCGGTTACGACAGGCACTCATTTCGAGACAACAGGGTCTCCATGAATCTTTGAATTCTTATAACGAATTTATCGATACCACTTGTCTACAACTAGGTGTATCTAAAGAAGACCAGTTTTACTATTTCGTTAACGGGTTGCTTGCGGACATTAAAAGTGAAGTTTTGATGCATCAGCCAAAAGATGACCTCACAGCAGTAAATTTGGCAGCCGTACTGAATTTGTTGATCGCACTATTGCAGATAGCCAAAGCAACTTGAACAGTTGTAAAGAAAATCCAGTTTACAGGTTACTACGTAACAAATTGCGTCAGGATTTATAACAGATGAAATAAAGTCTTTAAGGGATGGTTTCCCCCCAAATTTCGCAAATCGTGATAGGAATTCTAAAGCTTCAGCGCAGCCTTATCACCGTCGTTATGCCGGTGGGTTCACATTTCAGGACCCCACCTGCTACAGATGTGGCGTAGTCGGCCACAAAGCGCGTGTTTGTCCAAATCAGTCCCATGATTACGTCATGATTACTACAGTTCCGAACCTCGACGAAAAACGTCCTATCGAAACACATCCCTACGAATTGTTGAAAATCATGTCGACCCACCATGTTCCACTAAATTTAACAAACGTTCACCGTTTGTTCTGAAAAAGAGGTTCTTTTATATCGTGAAAGCAAATTGCAAATCCTTACTAAGCCGATCGAATACATCGAAGTGAGCAAGCATTCTCTACTTACCGAAATTGTCAATGATTTTGATGAAGATATTGATACAAATTCGTTCTTTGAGACTTGTTTTGAAGTTTTTACTCACCCTAAAAGTTTGAATACCCCCGAAATAACCTCAACAGAAAATGAAAATATTACAGGCACAAGAAGTGCCATTTATTGAAATTTCAGTGGATCAATATCATGTTTGTGAGCTCGAAGAAAATTCGAATTGTATCGTCAATGATATTCAATATGTTTCTGCAGTGCAAGTATTCGATTACTTTACGGTAAAAGTGTCTTTTACTGAAGACGCATCGCAAGAAATTTCTAACATAGAGCACCTCCAGTACAAGCGCGACGAGTCAGATTTATTAGTCTACAAGCACAGCCCATAAATTGGAGCATTGTAAGAAACGGCGTGATATTTTTGAACGAAGTGATATTTCTCTTGTTACACCCGAGAACGTGAACAATATTCCTGTATAGTCAGGACCATTGGTGCTTATCTTTCAAAGATCTATATCTATATCAGTATGAGGCCTTCTCTGGGACCTTAAGTCGCCGTGACTTTTGGCGACTTTAGGAAAATTTGCTCAAATTGTTATGCGACTTTGGGCGATTTATGGTGACTTTAGGCGACTTAAGGTGACCTATTAGTTGAATTAAATGCTAGTGTATACAAAATTGACATCTACTGACAACACAACCTGTCTATGGAGACAGTGGGTCTTGGAGACATCTATTAAACACCCAAAATTCCAACAATCTCAACACATTTAATACTAAAATAGTGATTCTACTTTATATTTTGAAAATTAAATATCAAGGTAGCCTGCGTCGCAGATGTTATCTAACACTGGTTAGTAAGGTCTGCGAAGCAGCACTGCAAACTTAACCCAGAATTTAGTATGATCACAATCATGCTAAAATTTGGTCAAGCCCTGTTGACGGGAACAAGCTTGCCATTTTGTCTTTTCGCCTAAAGACTCCAGTCGATCTCAGTAACTCTGACCTTAATTTCTTTAAACGGAGTTCGCTTGTGGTTTTCACAATTGGATAAAAACTTTTTCCTGGAGATTGAAGGAAGAAGTTGCGGCTTCAACTATTGCTTTTCTAGTCTAAATACTTAGTTTCTTTTTAGACTGAATTTGATGTTTCTTCTTCTCACTGATTTATATACAGAATAAGCGTTTCCTTGAAGTCGCTTGGAATAATAAACAGGTCTATTTTCTCGCTACCGGTAATTTTTGTAGTAGCTGTTCACTCTTTGTACGTTGCGAGAGGCACTAGGCCCGGGTTACCGCAGACACAATCATTGTGATTAGCTCTTCCGATGGATCAAACAATCAAAAAATTCCACACGGCTTCAAAAAGTCTTCAATGCTCATATGCGTTTCTTTCTGTTGAATCAGGAGATTGAAATTAAAATGCGATATGATGAATAACCTGAAATATGCTTTGCATGCAGAAACATAAATATCAACAGTGTGCTTTTTGAGAGTGGGACATCTCGTCTTCAAACTTGACGTCCCTTCGAAGATGCTTATCCTGTGAACATTTGCAGATTTTTAGTAATTAACTTAGTTAGTCAGGGTTTTGCGAATCGTTTTTGTTGGCAGATACATCCTACGCATTATTATGTATGTAAACGTATTATCAATGACCATCATCAAACAAATAAATAGTGAGCTGCTAAGGAACTGAAGGAAAAAAGAGTATGCAGTTATAGAGAGAGAAAGAGAAGAGAAAGAAAGAAGTACAGAACTGTTGAAGATCAACTGAATGAAGGTTAAGTTGAAGAAGAAAGCTTAGAAGTTAACAGAAGAATAATATTGTGAAGAGAGTAAGTCTCCTTGTAATAAAGAGTTTAATCGTAAGACGTATTTGGTTGTGAGAGTACCTCTCATCAAGAGGATGTAGTTCCTTTATCACCACAACCAACTCATATTTTAATTTAGAATGAAATTGGCTGTAGGGAGGTATTTTTTTGGCCAATTGGTGACCGTTTTAACGGAGTCGGTGCCACTGTACCTGCTATGTAAATGCATTGGTCAGTACAAGACGAAATCTAATATCGGCAACGACTAATAAAATCTATTTTAAAGTAATTAATTTATTAATAGAATCTGTTGGAGTACGCTTGACCTCGTGGACGGTGTTGTCTTTCCCAATTTTACTCATCGACAGTTCTAGCGTTCTAGTTCTCTCCATAACAACGACAATTAATAATCCGGCTCTCTTGAGCGTTTTGGTTACTTCTGTTGCAGGTTGCCTGCTACACAGCCGTTTTTAGTGTCGTCACGTGGGGAGGAGCGTAGCGTGACGACACTTAAAACGGCTGTGTAGTAGGCTAGACCAAAGGGAGCCTGTCGTTTTCACTAAATGAGGTCACGCTGTTGGCCTTTCGTCTTTTATCGTCCATCTTATTGCAAACCTCTGTATCCAGACGGTCTGCTACATTGTTTCTCCATGAGGGAAAGACTTCTCGTTCGACCAAAGGCCCGTTCACAGGCCAAAAGAATCGCGGCGCAGTAACGGCGAAAAACGCGAGGCGAAAGTATGAGCGCGAGTGCTGCGAACGTACAATATTACAAGGCAGCTCACTGCGAAGCAAGGCAATCATCTGCTTTTTTCAGTTTTGATTCAATGCAATTTTATCGCTGGTTATCGTCATTTTCGTCAAATGCCTTACAAGTGCTTAAACTTTCAATGCTAAAAAACGATCGAGTTACTGCGAGTTAGAATTGTTTTGTTGTCGATAGAAACCGATGAAAGTCGATCGAAATCGATTACCTCTTCTTAGATCATTGTGATTGTCAACTAATATAACTTGTCAAATATCGAGCATTACCGACTTATCGACTTGCTTTCCGATGGTCGATTTCTATCGATATGTAACGTCCTTTTGCGTTAAAACGCAGAACCTTTATACGTGATAAGAAGCTTTGACCTTAAAAACAAGACAGGATCACGAACATTTTTTGGAAACGGAAGATCATTTTTATTACTGTTGCCCAGTCGAACCAGGTCAGGCATAGTCCCATAACTCTACTTCGAAGTTACGGCTCTCTTGATTACCTCATTTGAGACTGCATTATAAACCAAAAAGTCCTGGTAAATAGTGGATTTGTGTATGGAAAACCCAAAATTTTGCCTAAACAAAGGGCAGAAGAGTTGACAAGCCAATTAATCAATCAATCATATCTTTATTTCAATTCAGATTTTGGAGTAGCATTTCTGCTAGTATCTCCGAGAAAGAAATAATAAATAACATGAAATAAAAATAGAAATAGTACAATTAAAATACATTTCATATAGACATAAATTACACACACACATATATCCAGCTATTTTTTAAAAGTTAACTGCTTTATACATAGTTTGAGAGTATTAAAGATCAGGAGCGCTTCTTGTTTCATCTGGCACAGAGCTCCAAGTGGAAATAGATGTTAAGCCCAAAAGTAGTAGTGGCCACCTTCCGCACAATGAGGTTTTTAACCCCCTTGAGATTATACTTACTAATACGAACATGAAACGAAAGAGCTAAATAGAAAGGTGCCATATTGTTCTCAAACTCATTAATAATTCATAAAGAAAATACAAAGAAAATTAATGTTTAATGAGTGTTTGGAAATCGGATGAAAAACTGCTCAGTATTTGCATCCTTAATTTCTCCTTCAAAAATGATTTTGTTTGAGAAGAAATATCAAACATTCGACACAGTGTTTCATCACCAGATGAAACACCTCGAAGTTCGTCAAAAATACTCCGCTGCGCGTCGTATTTTCAACTCTCTTCTCGGTGTTTCATCTGGTGATGAAACACTGCGTCTCATGTTTGATATATTACATCAAACACTTGTAAACGAGTGTAAGCATATCCTGGATTCTCGCGTCTCTCAAGGAAAAAAATTCTAATTCATTAAGGAGGGAAGAATAATTGCTAGTAAAGTCATTAAATACTAATCGCAGTGCTTGTTTGTCAAGTAGTAATAAACTTGTTATTTTGTCAGGGAGGCAACCTTTCTCTTTTTTATAAAACCAAAATACTAACAAAATAAAAGACAGAAGAGGACATTAGCATTGTGATGTTGAACATCTCTAACCTTCACAAAGCCGTCATTCGGTGGACTGAATTTATGGAAACTCTAAAAAATCGCTTATTTTTTTACGACACAATCAAAACCGTTCTTTGCATAACTCGTTTGATCCAAACTAATCTGAAATTAACGTTTACAATTATTCATCTATCCGATGTACTGATGGGTGGCCAGGAACATGCCGTCCACTGAATTTTATTTTACTTTCAAAAAGGAAAACTCTATTACCGAACACGATAATTATTAATATTGAAATTTTAGCATTAGTAAGGTTGTCTTTCTGTGAGAATCTTTTGATTGGGCTAAAGACAAGTGTCCATTGTAGGCGGGTTTAATTTAGAGACAAGGTAGGGGCTTTCCCCAAAGATAAAGAAAACTTTCCGTAATGGCTGCGGTCACATCTGGGCTTCTAACTTTTGTTAAGACGCTGATAATTATAGTTAGCTATTTCGGTAATGTGACCGCCTCTCTGTTCGCTCTAACTATAGTTAGAAAATTTACGCCTCGGTGATCCAAAACAATACAGACTAACTATAGTTATACCCTATAGTTATACCCAAGTAGGGTTCGTGGGTTAGTCTTAAGTTTACAAACAAACAACCAATCAGAATGTGACACTTCTTTTCGCACGTACGAGATGATCATATATAAATATGCAAAATAAAAACCAAGCGTGAAGCGAGGGGGAAACCAAAACCAACGAACAAAAACTTGACATAGGCTAATTAGAACTAACTGTTGTTAACTGCGTGGTGTGACCACTATGTCGACCGAAAGCACTAACTTCAGTTAGGTATGACATCACGTAACTTGACACTAACTTAAGTTAAGCTTTAGTTACAGGGTTCGCACGCACCTTGAAAGTCCTTGAAAGTCCTTGAGTTTCAAAATAAAAATTCAAGGCCTTGAAAGTCCTTGAAAATTGCAGTCGGTGCTGTAAAGTCCTTGAATTTCGGTGCTAACTTTATCCAATACAGATTCTCAAGGTTCTAAAAGGAGCAAACACAGAAAGACCTATCAGGGTAAAATTGCTCATGTTGTGGAAGAACCAAAAAAGACAGACTCAAGGCTCTTTTTTGCACTAAATGGAGTCCTTGAAAAATGGGAAATGAGTCCTTGAAAGTCCTTGAAAATTCCTTGAATTTTTTGTTCTAAAAAGGGTACGAACCCTGTAGTTACGTCGTAGATGTGACCGCAGCCAATACCGAGTTGTCGGTATTAAGTGGGCCCCCTTAAAGCGTGTTCGACTGTTCTCGAATTGTTTTTCACCAAACTGCTTCTCAGTGTATGTTTCTTCCAGGAAATCGGAATTTGACATCTCCGTTAATTTGATACACACGAACATGAAGTTAATGAAATAAAGGAAATTTCATAAATCTAATACCACAGTTACTTGGCCTTTGTTTTGAATTTGTGTGGACGCCGGACACTGCGCAGAAAGTGTTGGTTTATTTACTAAGGCATGTGAGCTCTTCCTTAAACTTGGGCATCTCCAAGGGGAAACCTTATTTAAAAAAATATTCTGTAAACTTGTAAGGTCAGACTCAGTGATCACTTCGGAAGATGAGAGAACCTCGTTTCCCAGTTCCAAATCTCATCCCCCAGTAGCAAAATACTCAGAAAAAAGTGTATATAGTGTTTGCCCTTAAGACGATCAGGTTGTCGGCACGCATTTAAGGTTGTTAACTCTCTATGACTCAGGAAGATCAGCGATAACAACTTGAACATCTTGAATAGGGGTCAATTCAGTACTCTCAGCCTTATTCCTTGAGAGATCATAATATAGTTAAGTTTACTCAGGTTTTAAGCCAATTTGTACGTAAACATTAACGATTTTTCTTGTCTTTTCAGGATGGAGAGAGGTGGGCTGATATTTGTGTAACAGAGGTGATTGATGCCTGCCATTTCTGGGCTCATGTAGGAGGAAAACTAGTCGTAGAGAAAGTTGAAGTGATAAATAGAAAACTGCTCTCACAGGTGACTTGATCATTTGTCTTTGAACTAATTCCTAGTTTGAGTTGCACAACTGGGTGCACTTGTTCAAACCATGGCTGGATAACACTATCCAGTCTCTATCCACTGGGTAACACAATCGGTTTCCCTAACACGTATCCGCTGGAAAGTGATTAATTCGGGGAATAGCGCTATCCAGCGTTTGAACAACTGGGGCCTGCTGTTTACAAAATGATCTATCAATGAAGATATAACAGGTCTGACCACCTTACTCCTAGAGTAACTCCAAAAACCATGTTCTGGAATTTTATTGTATTGCAAGAAAACAGCCAATCAGGGGTGATAAATGTTAACTGTAATCAGTTATGGTGATCATTAGTTTGTGGTTTGTGGTCTGATCTTCAAAGTTATTGGTCAGTACATAGTCAATATTCCTGAATTATTTCAGGCCCAACTTGTTCAAAAGGTGGATAGTGCTAGCAACCGGATAAATCACTGTGCAGTGGATAAGTATTAGGGAAACCAATTGCACTTTCGACTGGATAGAGATTTATCAGCTGGACAGCGCCATCCACCTTTATGACAACGGGGGCCTGGTGTTAACGGTTTTTCTTTTTTTACAGTAACAGCCATTTAGGGCCAATTATTTAAACAAAGTTTAGACAGCGTTTATGAAAGTAATCTTCTAACCCATGTTTAATCCATGAATACCGATCATTTAAATGCTATTCTTTCATAACCGTGTTCAGACCGTGTCTATACACCGTTCAAGAACGAGGAGACCTGCTCAAGATGGGTTAAAATGCCTTTACCAAGCAGCGGTTTTAAAATGGACGGACTGCCATGCTTCAGATTGTTAGGGTACGCGCCAATCCACGCGTAAAATACGTGTTGGAAAAACTTGGCATACTAGGAACAGATTTAACCTTTCAAAGATACCATGGCGAAGATTTTCGATTGCGTTCCCGGTCACTGACCTCGTATACAATCTTCGATCTTTGACATCAAGCGAGGATAAAGTCGCAGACAACGATCCATAAAGCTCTAATTGTCTTGATTTTTATGCGACCTGAACTTTCGGGTGTGTCATCAACGATTTGTTTCATCAACAGCCGATATTTCTAGACTCCACCACTGATTTCCCTGCGAAATGACGTCTGAAGATCGAGCGCAGAAATTCCTTACTGTGGTACTTCTGATTAGTCGCGCCGCGAAGGGAAAAGAATCACAACTTAAGTGGCCCAGAATACTCTCACTTAGTTGATGATATTAACATGAAATCCGGAATTGAAGCTGTAAACCAGCAAAGCATTATTTAAAGACGAAATATCAAATTGACTGGGACTCTGCGACATTTATAACGTATTCTACAGACTACTATCAACGTCTTACTTTAGAAAGCTGGTTTACTAACTTAGAACAAACGCCACTGAATCGTAGCCAACAGTTACCAGCGCCCTACAAACGACTTATTGACGAGATCAAGCAAAACTAACTACGAGAGAATGACAATGTGACTAACAATAGACGACTGTTTAACTGTGACAATAGACGGATCGAAACGCACCAATTACTGATTACGAGTCTTCATAGCCAATAACATCACGGCTTAACTGACAGACGACCAATAACATCGATCGCGACGTAATTGACCAATCAGATCAATAACCAGAGTATAATACCATCAACTGACGTGATACAACTCACTTTGACTCTGAAGATGACTACTGCACAGGTTGTCGAAACGTCAGTCACTGTCAACAACAACAACAGTCCTATTCAGGACTACGTTCACCCGGACGATCAAACTCAACCTACTTTTGAAACCAGCAAATGTTAGATTCTGTTTGCAATGTTCTAAAAATGCGTCAGGTCCTACCTTAAGGATTTTGTGAGACTTACGGTAGCCATTCTTTTATGTGGCAGGTGAAGATTGCTCTGACATGTATACCAGAACCTGGGACATTTGTCTGTGTGTCTGAAATTGTTGGTGGCCACAAAGACTCATACAGAGCTCAAGTTCTTTCAACCGAGCATGCTGCTGATGGAAGCTTTAGGGCTCACGTGTTTGCTGTGGACAATGGCTTTACTACAAAGGTGTCTGGGAACTGCTTGTATGTTTTACCAGAGGAGTTGCTGGACATTGCCCCACAGGTATGCTTCCTTATATGAACGAAACCTGATTGGTATATAAAATAACTTGCTTGTTAAGCCCCCTGTTTAAGTGTCCAGGGGGTCGTTTCTCGAAAATCCCGGTAACTTTTTGGGTCCAGAAAGTTGTTTTACGTTTGACGTACGTTTAAGATAGGATCAGCGTTGTAATAGTTTTAAAAATGATACAAGAAAATTGTTACTTAACGATATAAAATTGACTTGTTTGCGAGCTAGGAACCGTGCAACTTTTTAAAATTGCCCTCGGGCCCTAGAATTTACCAGGACATTCGAGAAATGGGTCCAAGGTCTTCTCATTTTTCAGTGTCAAAAATAAAAAATGGAAATATTCATAAACTGAAATTTGTTTTAAATCCCTCAAGCTCTAGCTAAAAATATATATTTCGAAGGCTTTATCTATAAACCTCCTTAGCTTGTATGTTTTGTTTTTGCAAAAAAAGTCCCAGGGGAACTTGACCCATTGTCTTTTCATGAATTATACGTAGATATTTTTCGTGCACTTGAATAAGACGAAATGTGAAAGAACACTTCTCCGGGGTATTCATAACCTGTATTGGGAAAACAAAACAGACAAGCTCAAGACGTCTATTGCATAAGCAGTTAATGATGTTTATCAACTTTTACAAAAAATCAAATAACATTTCCTTATCAACTTTCAACTCTCAGGCAACCTTGTGCTGCTTGTCTGGAATTCAAGCCCCACCCAAAAATGCTGAAGTGCTGGAACATGTTGCTGGTAATGAATATTTCGTCTTTTTTTAAAAATCCAGTATTAAAATACTGGATTTATTTCCGTGTAAAATTGAGTTTATTCTCTTTCCTAAAAGTTTTATCGTCGACGTCTTATTTTTCATTCGAACTGGAAGACTATACCACCCGTAAGAGCAACATTAAGCATGTAGGAATGAGTACGGCTACAGGAAAAGTGAGTAAAATAATATTAAGGCGAATCATAGGCTTGACTCTTTAATTCTAGGTCATAAGGCGTTTTTTAACTGCAAAGGTAAAAATGTCATTGTTCATGTATTCTTTGCTAAGGAAAGTTATTTGACCAAAGAGCCTAAATCAGGCACTCTGTCTGGAATTACGTATACGCAGGGAACTGCTTCGTGCAAGATCAAGTGTGTAAGCCTGTAACCTGACGAGACATTCAACGAAATTTTCATTTTCTCTTTTGGTCCCAGTTGTTCAAAAGGTGGACAACGCTATTCGCTGGATAAATCTCTTTCCGGATTATAGTGCAATTGGTTTCCGTTTCACTTGTTCTCTGGATAGTGATTTGTCCGGTTCATAGCTCTAACCAACTTTGGAACAACCGGAACTTACACAATAAGCAAGTCATTATATAAAGAAGTCTTTATGTGACAAATTAACCCAACTATCACCTTTATTTAAGGTGTTCTAAGAAATCTGACGCAAGAAAATAACTCTCATCGTCTTTATGTTGCTGCTCAATCTGGTCTGGAGCTTCTTATCAAGGTGAGATCATCTTAGATGTTACTTCATGTTCGATGCAGCTTGCTGATATGGACATACCACTACAGGAGCGTTTTCTGTAGGGCATAAGTTAATGAATTCAGCATAAATTTAACCTAAAACAGCATTATCCTCGTGACATAGCCCCATTAAGGCCCACGTAAACAAAAATGGCAATAGAGACGAAGATGTGCTAATTACAACACCCTATAGACCTCTTTTGTAATGGCGGCCTATTAAATAAATATACCGTAAAATTCCGAAAATAAGCCCCGGGGCTTAGATTTTTCAAAGGCCCTTTTTGAGGGGCTTATCTACGGAGGGAAATTTGCGTTTCAAACCCGATTGGGATAGCCTCATAGTTGGAAGTAACTTTGCCGTTTTTAGTTTGTTTTACTTTTTATTTGAGAGCAATTTTCCAAGTACAAGCCCCCGGGGGGCTTATATTTGAAGGGGCGTTTTAACGGAGGGTCTTTTTGCGTTACCGGTTTGGGGGGCTTATATTTGGAGGGGCTTATACATGGCGGGGCCTGTTTTAGGAATTTACGGTATTCTTTTATCAATGATGTATGATAACTAGCCTTTCTGATCTCGTTAGCATGTGAAAAATACAAAAGAATTCTTACTTTCAAACCTGGTCAGAAAGGCTAATTATCATACATATAAAAGAATAAGCCGCTATCATGAAAAAGGTCTATAGCAAGTCCTTTTCGCATCTGAGTAGAACGGTTTTTAGTTTTAATCGAAGTAGATCTTACTGTCACTGAGAGCCAAGAGTTCTTTGGCATTGAGGTTGGGCGTTGAGACTGCATGGCTTAATCGGCTTTGCCCCCACCTCAGCTGGGGAGAGTGACTCTAATTTTTAAATTTCGTCCGTCTTTTTTATGGTAACTTCTGCTGTTTTTATTATTCTGTCAGCTATGCACCATACCAAACAGAAACGTCTGTAAGCAGGCAGCTGGCGCGATTGTTAATCTTGCCATGAATACCAAAGTTCAAGTAAGAATCGGCTTTCTTGGAGGGATTCAAGTTCTTCTTGGTAAGGATATTTCATAGAATTACATGAGGCGAAAACGAAAAACATTGCGATAGTGAGATCATGATTATCAGGGTAATGAACAGTTTTAGGCATTTGCTGATGGTAGCAAAGGATCAGCAAGAATATCGTGGGGGAAAATGTTGGAAGGACCCAGTTGAGAAGAGTCTTAAAAGGGTGTGGAGGATATTAGCTGTCTAATTCAAGGAGTCCAGATGATCCCTTAAAGGACCTGTGATAAGGAAAACTTAAGAGGTATAACACCTTGATACTAACGTTCCTTTTTGCGTGGTATCGCCCATTATGTCAGCCAGCAAACTTAATAACAGCGGTATAAAACGCGTATGATGAGTTTATAATCATCCTATTCATCACGGGAATGGGATATTTTTGCCGTTTAATCGTTGAGTTTTTATACGTGAGGTTTCACGGCTATTGTTCCCCGTTGGAATCATTATAATTACGGAATCCAAAGAAGAGTGAAGGATGGTGCAACTGAATGAAAAAACACTCGTATTCAAGAAATAGGATGTGGAAAAAGCTGAGGACGTTAAAGAATCCTTTAGGTAGCGCTCTCTAAAAAGTGCAGCCGGTGTTAAGAAACTCAAGTGGAAAATTCGTGCGTGACCGTTGATAACATAATTTAGTCTGAAAATACCGGTTACAAGCTCTTTATTTGGACAGCGAAGCCTTCGACTGTCTTGTGCAGTCTTCTTTAGCGATTGTTGTCACATGACCTCCATTCAAATGAGTCACGTGGAAAGAAGTAGTGAAAAATAGTGATTAGTTCATATCCACCATCTTACGCATTGATGGTGACGTTTGATGTGGATGGTTCCCTTGATGTTTCCTTTAATATCCATGGGCTTCTGGTCTTTCATTCCGACACCTCCCAATCGATCCCGTGGCGGGCCTTGGACGAGTGTCCACAGACTGTCGAAGTTTGTTTTTGGGTTACCTATGGCAAGGCCAATAAAGTTCTGAGCATGTCGAAAAAATACAAAATGGCGGACGCGAAAACAAGAGGAACGTGCGTGTCCCATCCCTCCTTCAATGAGACAATTACTTGAATTTTTAAGAAGGGGGAAAGTCATTTCAGACAATTACAATCAGACTTGACACGAAAACAAAATTATTGCTTCACTTGTTTGTTCTAACTCAACTTCACAGTCCTTTGTATTCGGCATTTCCCAGTATATCTCTATCTCTGAGCAGCTATACAGTCAAGCCTGAAAAACAAACTATTAATTGCAAAGCCCACTTCATCGCGCAGCTGGCAGACCAATGTACCCCTATTATGGGGGTGTTGTTTGCTTCTAGTGTTCTTCGAGTCTCCTTTCAAGGGCCCTGGTTGTCTATCTTATGCGGTGCTCGCCACAACTTTTATGTGAATTGTTTTTTGAATAGATTAGTCCATTATGATGCACTTCACAGAACTTTAAACGAGTGTGTTTTGCGATAAAAACCGTTTACCTTCTTCAGATGTTTGCCGGAGATTTCAGCATGATGAAGAAATCCTTCTTCTTGCAATTGGAGGAATTCAAAACTTGGTTCGAGACTCCTATGTTAATCGCTGTCGTTTAGCAGACAGTGATGGTTTAATAATTCTGGGTCAGTTATACTTCGCCTGTGAAAGTGATGCCGTCAAGGAAAGATGCCTTGAAGCAATCAAGAACTTACTGGGAAATTCTATGTAAGCTACAGCTCTTCTTTTGGTTTTCAGATTAATTTTGGTGTTAGGTAATTCAAATTGAACTTGAATAAGTATGCTATAAATTTTTTAGGAACTTATCGCTTTTATAGACGTAGTTTTAAAGTTATTAATTATTTGGTGATTTGATATATTTCTCGTATTTTTACCATTTAAATTGGCTTTACCATTTACGTTGACTTGAAAGGTTATATGAAATCTATCTATCTATCCATCAATCAATCCCTCCTTCCCTCGTCTGTGTACGTAACTATGTTAATGTATAATTATTTCCTAGCATATCTAAACTCATTGTAACAAATGATAGCGAGTTGTTACAAATATCAATTCTCTTCATTCAATTCACATTCCTTCTTATTCACAGTACAACCTTCGAGAACGGTATTTTAGAGGTTAATGAGATATCAGTTCCCGTACGCAGATCTTACGATGCCAGGAGCGTCATCGACGAGGTATGCTTCCTTGTTTTCTCGGTGAGGATGAGTAAATAAGAAATTTAGAACAGGAGCTACGTTTTTAAAACGAACAACATGCGTGACTGCGTAGGAATGGCTTCTCCTGATAATGTAATGGTAATAGAACTGAGTGGAATACAATTGAGGGATTAGTCGGGCGATTTGAAATTACGAGCCCGATTACCCCTGAATTGTACGACACGAAGTCCTATTACCAATTAATTGTGTCAATAACAAAATGCGAGAATCTCAGTCTTGGAATATTTATATTGATGTAAGAGAAAGATTCCAAAGCAAAAACATGATCGGTTACAACTTTGGATGAAATTATCGGAATGTAGAAGCCCAACCGCATGATAACTTAAAAAAATACATTTCTATATATTTAATAAGCTGTCAAAGCCTAAAGGGACCTAAAGAAAAATATCTGAATAAAAGTCACGGGACCAGTTAGTTTCATCCATTTTTCTTTTCCAGTTGAAACTTGACAACTTACTTGACCTATTTCTTTCCGCTTTTTCATTGATTTTGATTGGTTATCATGTGCTATGTAGTAGAAGTTAATTGGCTAGTGGCATTCGCTACTTGATTTTCATTGGTTCTTTACTGTCCGATTTGACTTGTCCGATTATAAGCTCCAGGTAATCGGACAGTTTTGAAGTTACAATAACAGAATTAAGCTATAAATATGGGCTGTTACGAGCCAATCAGATTCAAGCATTTTGTTATTGACACAATTAATTTCAGGATAACAATACAGAAGCGCCTGATTGGGAATAAGCATCAATCCCCTTATTTTCATACACTCTCTCTAATTTTCGGACTGAGGCTGAATTTTTGTCGAGGAACTTTTCAAAAAAAACATTTTAAATGATATCAAGTTGTGTGATATGCTATCGGGTTGTGCAATGGTAAGAGATTAGGTTAGTTATTAAGGCGTGGAGTACACCATGTAAGAGCCCTAGGGGTTGTGACGGTCCGTCAAAACCTTTTGACCTGCATAGACTCAATTAAAACAGTCGTAGAATCGATATGACAACTACTTCCGAGAACCAAGTGTCATATTCTTCTTGTGTAACACCAGTTGTCGTAGCGAGTAGCGAAGTCAGGATTCTCGCCTTTCCCAAGTTTGCTGATTAAACTTAGGTTGTCTGTTGTTCGGGAAAAAATAACCGCTGTAAGATTCGTTGTGGTAAGCGACGAAGATGTGACCCGTTTTCTTAACAACAAGAGAGCAAGAAGAGCACAAAGGAAAGGCGTATGATCTGAAGATTTTCAGCGAATTTCTCGAAAGTTGCGACGAGAAAAGAGAAGTAGCTGGGTATTACTCCCAAAGAGCGATCATAAAAAAATTCTTGTTTGCTGTAAAAAAAAAAAAAAGAAGAGTTTATGAGCTTCCATCTGCAAAGCCTTTTGTCAAAGTATCGACTGCTATCTCCCAGAGAATATTTAAGGATTCTCTCTCCTTAACGACAAGGAATTTTCGAAGTACAAGGTATTTTTGTATTAAAATTAGAATTTCTAAGTATTGCAGCATCTGTATTAAACCCGGCTTTCAATCTCTGCCATGTTTATTTATTGTCGACATAATAAAAAGAAAATTACACGTTAGCTTGAAGATATGAATTTTATGGTATTTTTTTATGGTCTTGTTGCCAGAACAACAGAACAGCATGGTCTCAACGGTATATTATTCAGTAGCTACAACAACAACAATCTTTATTGTGCTCCTGATACAAAAAGTGTAAAGACATTAAAAGGAAATAATTGTGAAAAAAAAGAGCACAGCCACTCAGAAATAGCAAAAGCTAATCGCGCTGAGTGGCTGAGCCATGCGGAAAAGTAACTAGATATCAAAGTTGATATGAATAAACAAATGCACGCAAAGACACACAAAGAAGAAATATATAAGCTGTAATAAATAAACGAATACACAAACGAATAAACAAAGAAGCAAGACAAAACAACGGCTGTGCACACAATTAGCTGCATATAAAGTACACCAATCAATATTTGGAGATGACATATTCTTTTGAAAGCTTTTTAAAGCGAAAACGACTCGCTAGCAACAGAACGACTAGCTATGCAACAGTTAGGTCTTATGCTCTACTTGACAGCCTCTGGCGTGGAAGGGACACTACTTTCATATTTCTTTTAACGACAAATTTTTTTAATCGACAGAAGAAAAAGTTTTCCTCATCTGTGTCTGATGACGAGGCTCCATTCCGCAGACGAAGAAGAAGACGAAGGTACGTGTAATGATATAGGACTGTTGTCAATGCTGTCAACCTTTTGTTTTTAAAATGTGGCTCCTTTTTCCCCCCCTTAAAAAAATGCGACAACGAAAATGAAAATTCCATTCGCCACTTAAGAAACGGAAAGGGAACTTGAGCCAAAATGCGTCCCGCAACAGGCTTCTTTAGTTTTGATTTACTGAAATTTAGCATAATTAGATAGGTGGTCTAAGGGGACACAAACAAAGAAAGTCATTTTCTTTGTTTGAGTCCCCTAAGACTCGCTATCTAATCATACCGAATTTTAATATATCGAAAGTGGCCTGTGGTTCTGGGATCGTTTCTGGGGACGCGCCGGTCAGCTATTGGCCAATTTTTTTTCCCAGTGTCCCTAGTAACAGTCCTTAACGTTTCCTGGACCTCTTTGCGAAAGTTTATAGAGAGCTTTAGATTGGAGGACGAGGACGACATTTAATTTTAAGTTTTCTCGCCCATTCTCTAAGGTTATAAGCTTTATTGTACTAGTTTTTTCACCCCAAAAGTTAGGACGCTTATTTCCGTTGAAGGAGGTTATGCCCTCTCCCGATCGCTAAATGATAAAATTCCTAATATTTGACAACTTGTTTTCGACACTACGACATTCTCGCTAAAACTCGTAGTAGACTGACGACGGCTACCACATTTTCCCGCCAAAATGACGTTGGTTCACGCGTGTGCACACTCCACTTAGTATTGGGAAAATCTCGTACTCGTAGTTGTCCTCGTCTCAGAATCTAAGGCCTGTTTACATGGATGTGGGAGACCCCAGTTAGGTGAGGTAGCCCGCTCAGGTTGGGGGAACCCGCCTATCCATATAATCTCTCATTTTGATTTGATCACGTTTACATAATAGGTGGGGTGACCCACCACATGTTACCTCACCTACCTGGGGTCCCCTCGTCCATGTAAACAGGCCCTAAAGCTCCCTCAGGCTAATAACTTCTTGCTTCTAAATGATGGCGAACAGATTCCTTTTTACCAGGACTTGCATGTACTTGTAATGGTTTTATTTGTTGATCTCTTCTTGGAGCTTAAAATGGAAGTCAGCGCGGTGCAATATTGTGGGAACATGTATCAGCTCAACCGCACCAAAAGACGTTTTTGCGAATACTTCTGCTTGGGTAAATTTTTGTGGAAAGTTCTGGCTTTTGTCAAACATTTGCCAACGCATCCGCGAGGCGTCCTTGTGTAGTCACAGACTAAAAATTAGAACTACGACTGTATACTGGGTAGAGATTTATCCCGCGGATAGCGTTGTCCCCCTTTCGCACAACTGGGCGCGGGCGGACTGTCTGTGTTGTGGTTAACTTATCTTGTTCTCAGTCTTTATTTTCTCTACTTATAACCTGGGTCCATAAAACGGTTTTAAACTCGTTCTCTCTCTTATTTATCAGGTTGCGTAAGGGGGAGGTAGAACCTAAACCAACACTTGTTGCATTATCACGTGAGAGCGGAAAGAAGAGCTCGACCGGGGAATCCGACGGAGTCACCGACAACGAGTACAGCTACACTGATGACGACACAGATGGAGAGAGACTGGTGACGGCTAACAAGCCACCTCCTGTAACAAGATCTGCTGATGATGTACGATACTCGATTTTTTTTCCTTAACTTTAGTGTGATGTTGATTCATATCGTTACCAATTTTATAAACTTTTGTAATAATAAGTGTTGAAAAATTTAAAACAAGGGAAAACTTTGACTGTCTTGTGAACGAAATGCTATACATGAAACAGTAATTTACAGTGGAAGACGCGAAAAAGGTGTCCTTAACCCATTCGCTCCGGGAGATTTTGCCGAAAAACGCGTTTTTGAGCTAGTCGAGTGGTTTTCAGGTCACTGTCGTGCTATAAAGAGCGAAAACTTACCATAAACCGGTTTACAGGTCGTACACTTGGCGGCCTTCTGATCCAGATGCAAAATATCAGCTTGCGAAGTTCGGGCATGCGCAGAAAGCAAAAAGTTTAAAAGTGACACAGCAGTCTTGACTTTTACTTTTCGCCTTCTCTCCTCCCCTCTTTTTTCTCTTTTTCTCTTGCTGGGCATTTAGTAGGCTTCATTTTGGTGGGAAGAGTTTTTAGGAAAGCTTTTAGGATCTTAGGATTAGGTGAAAGGAAAGGTAGGTGAGCAATGGAACAAGATTTTCATGGAGATTTTCAGGTCAATGTCACGTGGTTTTTTGCTTCTTTCTCCGGTTTCCTTGACTGAATTGTGCTCATTCTGTTATGGTTTGAAAGATCTCTTCACTCTGCACAAGTTAGCGAAGAAAGTTGTCCTTGACCGTTAAAACTGATGACGTCACAAAGGGTAGAAAGGACGTGGATCCGCTTGGGCGGTTACAGGCGGTTCAGGGGCGAATGGGTTAACTACGAGAATGTAAAAATACAGAGTTTGTATGGGAGTTGAGTAAAACAGGATTTTGTGAAGGCGGCCGAAGAGTTGTCTGCTTTCGACAGTGTCCGTTAGGAGAGCTTCCACTGTATTCCCGCGCATGAAGAACGTTCCAAGACGTTCCACCCGTTCTAAGGTCCTTGTCTAGCTCTGCTTCATTTATGCAAGTTTAGAGTACTTTTAATTAACTCTTTTTGAACTCGCAATTATTTATTTCCAATTCCTTGAATGATAATGGCCTCATGAGGTCGCCGAGAAGTCGGAACATTATCTTGTCAGTGTTTACACGTTTACGTTACTCAAATTGATTATTAATAAGTAATCATTATCGTCATTTCTTTATGTAGACGGACGTGGATATTGAACGTTACTATGTTCGAGGCTATCACGTGCCATTTAGTGAAGACGACTTACACGATTTCAGGTAATTTATCGCCCCCACTCCACCTTTTACCCTTCTCATCAGGTGCAGTGCAGGTTTTAGCCATGTTATTACATCTTCGATATATTAGGGACTTTAAGATCCAACGACGCGACGGCGACAAGAAGGTCGCTTAAAAAGTGAATTTGCGTTCTTTCAGTCTTTATAGCGATTATTCCTACCCACTTACTTTGTCAATTATAGGCGAACCCTCCTGAAGCTGAATTTCAAGGGACCAAATTAAAGCTCAGAAAGAAAAATAAAATTTCGTCGTTGCTCGTTTACGTCCTCCATAAAACGCGAAATTAGGCATTTTCACGTCGTAGTTGTGCAAAAACGGGAAAGCAATGTACAAAAAAGTGTGATGCACGTGCGAAGTTGTTGTTTTGCTAATTAAACCAATTGTTTTTTTAACGTTCTCGTTGTCGTCCGCGTCGTTGGATCTTAAAGTCCCTATTGATGTTAATTTAACACTGTTCCACAGGCCTGAGTCCAATTTCCATGATGTGGGTCGTAATATCGTAATTTCGATCTACTAATATTAATTCAACATTGTTCCACAGGCCTCAGTCCAATATCCATAATGTGTCCAGTAGGGTTGTAGAAAGGTGAGACTTGTTAAACTACTATGGCGCGTTTCGTCTTCCTTTGTACGGTTTTTGCGCTCGATCTTAGTTGGCCATCCAAAAATACTTCTAGAGGCAGCCTCGATTGAGTGTCAATATTGCCTTGGATGGAGTTTATTGCTGGTTTTCACATGACGCCATCAAAATTCAAAAATATACTTAAGAAATATACTTAGGAAGTTCGCTTTGCTGTTTCAGCTTTATTCCGCAATCGGTGTGCCGTTGGTCATCCTTCTGATGTATTTACCCTATGGTCGTTTGTAGTTATGTAACTTCTTTGTATTTTCTTTCCCTTAGATCGCTGTGCGCTTTTCTAAACAGTGGCAAATGTGGTACAGTTTATCTTGGAATTCGCAAAGATGGAGTTGTCTGTGGCGTAAATGTTGGAAGAAAAGAGGTGCACTTAGTTAATATTTATGACAAAAACATATTCAGACACTAAAACTATTCTGTGTAACAGAGAGTAATAGTACTAAGCGCGTGAAACATCATCCCATTTTCTCCCCAATGCTCTTCTTGATACCAAAGAAGAGATTGTTAAATTCAATACATTTTACTCTTTGGTGGTCTCTCTCTCTCTCTCTTAATGATCGTAGTGTTTAATTCATAAGTGATATTTACTTTTAATTAGTGATATTTATTTTATTGTGGATTGCCAAATGTTTGTGCACGGTCGCGGAGCTTGAGCTTCTCACTGTGTCCTAGAGCTCTGCTACCGAGAGCAATGTCTCCTGATAGAGCGACCCTTGCCGGTGAGGCTGGATGGTAAAGCCCTGACCATCTAGGGTGGGGGTAGGGCACAGGTTTAACCCTTGAAACCC